AAAGGCTGTGGTTCTAATTAGGAGGAAGGGGGACAGGGTGAGGGGCCAAATCACTCCACCTGGGGGTTCCCGTGAGCGGCTCCTATCCAGCAGCGTCTCAGGGCTGACCCTGCAGGAGTGTCCTGGGTCAGCTAGAGGGTGTGGGCTGGGCCTGGGCTCAATGCCCAGATGACTGGACAGGGGCCGCCCGGGCCACAAGCCCAGGCCTGAAGGAGGAGGGGAGAACCTCATGTGTCCAGCCAGACTCCCCCACTCCCCATTACTGTGTTTGGGGTGAAAACAGACTGAGTAACTATGGCAACCTGGAACTAGGGCTCCCAGGAACTAGGCCTCTCCTCCCTCCGGAGCACAGCCCTGGCTTCTGGGCCTTCCTGTCCCCACGTCCCTGAGCTTCATCCAGGCAGTGAGCGCAAGGACAAGGATTTGGGAGGCAGATCACCCAAGTTGGATTCCCTGCTTTACCTTTCATTAGTGGATGTCCTTGATGTGTAATTTAAACACTCTGAGCCTTAGATTCCTCATCAGTAGCACGGAATACTCCCACCTACTTCTCAGGGTTGGGGTGAGGGTGAAAGATGTCCACACTGCCTGGTCCATGAAAGGCACACCTGTCCCTGTCCCTTACACCTGTCTCTTTCCACTTCTCCTCTATTCCGCCCTTACCCAAGCTGGCTTCATCACCACTCCGTCATGCAGTCGCTCCTTCTGTCCTGATCACAGCGCAGGGCAGCGCAGGGCTTGAGTGCTGGCGTCTCCGGCTGGGGCCCCTGGGGGGGGCCTGCCACACCCCCGGCTGAGTGGCAAGGGACAGCTGCCACTCTGGTGTGAACTGGCAGTTGACTGTTGGCTGGGTTCGTGGAGGGGGGAAGGCATAGGAGGGGGCTGGAGCTAGGGGGTGCGAGGTGGGAGGGTGAAGGCAGGTCAGTCTCTGGCTGCCGCGCTCCAGGCCCACGCCGGATCCGAGGCCACAGCCCAATCCCAGGCCACCAGGCCCCCTCAGTGGGCTGCCAGGGTCACTCCTGCACCTCCTGTCGGCCCCTCCTGTCCCAGGCCCACTTTGTCTTTCTGTTGAGCTGCTTTCCTTCCTCAGGATCCCGCCTTTTGTTCCTCTTACCATCCCTGACCCATCGCCTCTCCCTCTTGGCTCTAGAAGATTCCTCTCCCACCTCTCTTTGCCCTCCACCCAGCCAGGAGTCATCCCCTTCTCTTTTGGACTCTAGTCTATGTTGCTCTTGCCGGTCCTCGCTCCTTTTGTATTTTGCCCTACCCCCCCAGGCACCCCCCCACCCCATCCCACCCCCGTCCCCGTACTTCACTCTGTTTTCCATTTCTTTTTTCTTGTTCTTCTCATCTCCTGCTGCTGACCCTGTGCTCAACTCCTCCCTCTTCACACCACCCCCTCCCCAGTTCCCTTTGCACTCCTTTGTCCACATTCCTGGTCCACAACTTCCTCTCTTCTCCCTGGCTTCGGCCCTTTCCCCCTCCCTTCCCTTTCCCCACTCCAATCCCCTGTCCTGTTCCCAGCTGTGGGGGCCAGGACTCAAGAGCCTAATGTTTGCCTCATCGTTCTGCTATGGCTTCTGGATACAGCACATCTGGATTCCGGGGCCCAGATGTGTGGTTGCCACAGCGACCTCGGTCCCTCTGGTAAATAGAGGCGCCCACCCGCCCCACAGCAGAGAACAAAACAATTGTGTGACTTTCTTTTGTCACGAGATAGAAATGTTCCTCCCTCCTCCCTTCTCCCCACACCCATGTCTCCAGGCAAAGGAAGTTTTAAGGGTCCAAACCCTTCTGTGGCTCTGTTGCCCCCTTTCGAGTCCTAGCCTCTTGGTTCTCTCCCATCTCTCATCTCAGGCTGTGTCTTCTCTCTGAGCTGCCCTTCCCCACCACCTCCTCAGTAGTGGAATGTTGAGTCCCCTTACACTTGGTGATTTCTTCTTACTGAATCTGCATAATAACTGGATGCAGGAAAAAGCTTCAAAAAGCCAGATCTGCCACCCTTCCTTCTCAAACGAGTTCTTCCAGAAGGCCCTTCATTTGTTTCTGCCCTAAGACTTCCATCTTTCCAAGGCTGTTTCTGGGGGAGGAGGGCATCAGAAAGCCTGGTTGAGGCCCACCTTTACCACCACTAGCAAAGTCCCTTGGACAGGTCACCTGACATTTGTGGTCCTCCATTCCCTCAGCCACAAAGTGGGATTAATCAAATGCCTGCACTGTGTTGGAAAGTGTTTTGTCAACGGAAGCCCAGTACAACTGTTTTCTCTCTTCCCCCTCTCTGGGACTGCTCCCTTGGATCGCAGCCCCTGGCCTGTCCTCGTTCCCTCTCTTTTCTTTCCTTCAGGTCCTTGCCCTTAATTGCCCTCATTCTTCTTTGTGTTCCTTCCCTTCTCCTTATCTTTCCCTTTCCTTCCTGTCTATACCTTTTATCACGTATCCTCCTGAGGTCAGGACAGGAACAAGGAGGTTCATTCAAGGATGGAAGCCCAGAGCTGAAGACACCTGCTGGACTGAGGATTCTGAGACCAGCCAGAGCACGTGGACAGCTGTCAGCAACCCCGACCTCTCTACCCATCACCTGAAACACCTCAGTGAAGGCCACCAGCTCTGCCCACTAGGCCTCCCTGCCTCCACACCTGGGGTTCCTACCAGACTCCCTTTCCCCATCCTTCTCACCCAGCCCTCTCACAGCTCGATAGTGACAAGCATTTATTAGGCACCTGTGCTATGCAAGGTCTGGTGCTTTCCTGATGAGATGCAAACATATGTGAGACAGGAGCTCCTCCAAGAGCCTAAATCCAGGGGCTGAATCAAATTTTAGACAATGATGACCTCAGAACCTGGAATTAGTCTGTTAAGCTTCCAGTGGCTTCCTCAAATGCCATGTAACCTTGAAAATGTTAGCAACCCTACTCTCTTCTGAGACTCTGGTATCCCTTCTGTCCGTAGCCGTGGACTTCCAAAACACCCCATGGCCATCCTTAGAGCTCTCACATCTCCAGGGTCTCCTGGCCACTCTGTGGACCAAGTATACTTATGGTGGCCATATTTAGTAAATAATAAAACCAAGATTAAGGCATAGGGCAAACAATGGATATGACCATGGGACAGAATTACTGAAATCCGGGAATGTAAGAGAAAATCCATCCTCTGTGCAGTCTGCTCTCCCCAAGTCATGCTGTTTCAGACCCTCCCTTGCCCTTTCATGTGCTTTCCCCTCCCTGCCCCACCCCCACCCCCCAGGATCAGAGGGAAGTTGTTACCTACTCCAGGATCTGGGGGCTTTGGGCCAAGGCAGAGGAAGGAAGCTGAGCCCAGTTCCGTCCAAGATGCTGACTTCATCCACCCCATCAAAGCCAGGAAAAAAACCAGCCACACACACCCAGGCACACAGACACACACACGCAGACACACGGACACACATGGGGACACCCACGCGAGCATCCGAGAGTCCGTGCAAGCCTTTGCCCTCAGCCACAGCTTGCTAACTGGGCATGTGGCCGCCACATGCTGACCCAGGAACAACACAGCCCTGCAACCAGGTGGATCCAGTCGGGTGCAGACACCTGTGCTCCAACCCCCGTGGCAGACTCAGACACATACAGGTTCCTTCAGGTCCCTCTCACCCATCAGCTATGATGGGGCCAAGCTCTTCCCTGACGGTGAGGTTTGTACCAGGGCAGCAAGAACTCGCCTCGTGAAACCTGGGGTGGGGATGCCTCAACCTCGGTATTTCCCTTCTGTGACAAAAGTCTTCAACCCCTGGTCAGGGCAGTGAGCACAAGGGGAGATGGGGCCAGAGAAACAGCCAGCAGCCTTACATGGGGGTGAGTCTGCTGCCCTGTCCTCTGGCATCGGTCTTCCTGTCTCTGCCTGAGGTCAAAGTGCTTTCTTCCTCCAGCCCCCAGCACTCCCTACCCCTGCTGCTCCCCTACAGCCCCCAGATATTCACCCATTTTAGCTTTCCTCTGACTTCATCCTGCCATTCATACCCCCACCCCCATATCCTCCTCCCGCCTCTAGCTCTGTCTCCATCCCTAAGCCTCTCTCCTAAACCTCCTTCTCAACTTTCTGGCTTCCCTTCCCTGTCTCCCCTGAACCCCAACTTCCTCCCCAAGTCTTACATATCCTGGTGCTCAGCCAAGCCCTTGCCCAGCCAGTACCCAAGCCTCATCTGCCGTTTCCTGGAATTTGCTGAGGTGGGAGAATGAAAAGGGGGCAGTGATCCCAAGCTGAGAACAGGCATGGACTGAGCAGAACAGATGGGGAGAGGCAGTGCAGGGACAGGGCAAGTAGAAAGAGGAGAAGAGATGAGGCTCAGGTGGGAGCAATGGGACTAGGTAGGGATGGGTGGGGAGAAGGAGTTCCAGAGAAGGCCCCATGTTGGGGAGGGATTTGGGCATGGGAAGGAGGTTTCCTTCCCCTCCCCCCACCCCCTGCCCTAGTCTGGCAGGAAAGACTGGCAGGAAGAGAAAGAGCTGGTGCTGGGCAACAGGCAGGTGGGGCAAGATCCAAGCTGGAGCAAAGTGGTGGGAGAGGAGGTGCCAGGGAGGGAGGAGGGAGAGGGGCTGGCCATGGGGAAAGGTGTTGGTAGAGAGGAGAACCCCATGAGAGAGCAGGAGCAACAGGTGGGGAAAAGGTGAGGGGAAAGGAGAAATGGCATAAGGACTGGGGGTGTGAAGTTGGGCAAATATTGGGATGGGAAGAGTACAAATGGGACAGGGAAAGGGTGTGGGAGGTAGGACCAGGGGTGCAGGGGGCAATACAAGGGTATTGTGGGACTCGGTGATCCCAGACAGGGAGGGGAGGAGGGGTGGCATGCAGTGATGTTGGGAGGGCCTGGCAGGGACTAGAGGGGTGGGAGGACCTGCCCTATCTCCGCTTCCCTCCCTGACCTCGTGCTGGTCCTCCCCTTCTCCTCCCCCTGCTCGCTGCAGGCTCCCTCCTCCTTGCTGTCGCTGCTGAGAGAGATCTACGGTTGGGTCGCAGTTCAGTGAGCCCCTGCTGCAGGGAACAAGCAAGGGGACCTCCAGGGAACTCTGGGCTGCCCAGGCACGGTAGCCCTGCCCTGTCTTGAGAACTCCCCTCCCAAGGTCAGGAACAGAGCAGGTGCAGAGGCACTGCAGTCTCCTGTTGCCCAGGTAAGGAACAGAGCTCTGGGAAGAACAAGGGAAGAGCTGGGAGCCGTGGGGGTTCTACCCTGTCCCTGCACCCCCAGCAAAGGTGTAGCAGGAGAGCTCTCAGGAGAGCCTCACAGAGCAGAGACTTTCTGTTAGGACAGAGGAAATGGGACCTTGCACTGGGGACTAGACTCCCTGTGGATGGCGTGTCTGGAAGATGGGTCAGTGTGTGTGTGGCCAGGGGCGTGCGCACGTGCAGTGGGGGGTGTGGGTGCCAGGGTTTGGACAGGATCAGGTGGTGGCACCAGGGTGGAGGTGGTTATTGGTGAGGTAGGACTCAGCGGTGATGGTGATCGGAAGGGGGAAACCAGGGGCTAGAGGCTGAGCTAGTGGCCAGCTGAACCTCAGGAGGAAAGTGCTGGGGGAACCCCAAGTGCTCTGCTTAGAGCAGCTGAGCTAGAGCTCCCGGAAGGTGCCAGAGGGAGTCTCTCAGCATGTGGGTTGCGGGTCTGGGAGGGAGGTCTGGGGGTCTTAAGCCTTTGGGAAATGTTGAAATGGAGCACAGTCAGGATTCCCAGGTCTGGGGAGGGCACAGAGCCTGCTGAGAGGATCCTAAAACTTGTTCTTGGCTGAGAGCTCTCCACCCATGACTCACGGTTCAGCGGGGTTGGGCTGACTGAGAGATGCCTCCGGGGGCACAGGGGCTCCGTCTTCCTTCCATCCCTGTCCAGGCTCTCCCTGCTTCTGTCCGTCTAAACCTCCCCCCACCCACTACACGTGACACGCCCTGGGTGGGGTGGGCGGGCGGGCCCCTTATCTCGCCTGGAAAGAATTTAATGGCTTGGAAACAACTGGAAATGGAACTGAGAGGAACTACTGGGAAGCAAGTCGGAAACACCGCAGCTGCCGGCTGTCTAGCTGTCCAAGCCCGCTTCCAGTCCCCGCCTGCTTCCCGCATCCCTGGCTCCCTCCCCGCCCCTCCCCTCTCTCTCTCTCCCTGCCTCCACTCCCTTGGGGACCTGGCACCTCAGTTCCTCAAACTCTCTTCCCCTTGAGTCCTGCTTACTCAGTGCTGGCCCAGAACCTGCCTTCCTGTCTCTCATTGCCCCCTTACTCTTTTCCACTGGGGGCCTGGAAATCCTTTCTCTTACTTTTTCCACTCCTCTGGCCCACTAGCTCCCCAGAATGAGGGGCATCTTGAGCCCCCAAATCTCCCGTGGCACCTCCTTATCTCCTGGTTCCAACCCAATATTTGGAGCCCCCCTCATCTCCCTCCTTCCTCTCATGGTCCTGGAATCCTTCTACTTTCACCCCTCATGTGGCATGAGGGGCAGAGGGAAGCGGGGGGAGGCCCAGATCCCCCATCTCTGGAACATCCCTCATGGAAGCCAGCCCTTCTCCACACCTCTTGGGACCGACAGTCCCTGATGAGCGAAGTGTCAAAGTTGGCCACACCATGAATACCAGGCAAGCTGAGTCACAGCTTGGGATGATGCCCCCACCTCTGCCAGCCCTCCAACTGTGGAGAGGATGCCAAGAGGGTGAGGCCACATCCCCCCTCCCCACTGCAGAAAGGAGCCCCAGACAGCAGTAGGGGGGATGACGAGGGAGAAACACAAGAGACACCCAAGTTGTTTCATTTCCTAGTGCTGAGAGAAGAGGGGAATTCTTCCAAGAGTTGGAAGTGGGAGGTGGAGGGGTGGCCATGACAGAGCAGGAGAGGGGATGGGGAAGGAAGCTCTCTGGGTCATGAACTGTGGAGTCTACTCCTCTCCTCTGAGACCTGCCTCACTACTTTCCAGCTTCTCTCCTTCCTGCTGCAGAGGCTCTCTCCCCCTCTCCCCCAACCTGGGGAAAGATGCAAGATCCAATAGCGGGGATGGGTACTGGACAACTCGCAAAGACCCCCAGGGGTGTGGGGCACCAAGTATCTTCTTCTTCTCCCTGGAGAAGGGCCTCCTGTTTGGTTCTCCTCACTCCAACTATGTTCTGTGACTCACACAGCTGCCCTCTGAGCTGATGAGAAATCCACTTTCTTAGGCATCACCCAATGAACGAGTGTCTAGGAAACGTGAAGAGATTGTGTGTGTGTGTGTGTGTGCGTGCGTGCCTGCAAAGACACAGGCTGATTTGGATGGATATGTGTATCTGAGTACAAGTGTGTTCATGTTTGTGTTTGTGGATGAGTGCATACTTGGGTATATTTGTATATGTCCATGTATTTGTGTGTGCACGCACCCCTTGGTTTGCATGGCCTTAGACAGAGTGACAGGATCTGAGGGTAGGTTAGAGCCCACCTTGTACCCAAGTCTACACTCCAAGTAGATGGGCTGAGATGCCCAGGGAAGGGCCGCTGTCTGCCTGCCAGGCCTCTGCCTGGGCTTCTTGGACCTCTTAGTGCAGAAATGCTCTTTCCCTGTCGTCCAGCTTTCCTTCTGTCTCTTCTGGGCTGGTGGCAGGGTGTGATGACTGGTAGCCCTAACACTCCTTTTTCCCAGACTTGGAGGAGAAGTTTCAGAGCAGCAAGCCAGGAAACGTGTGTGGGGGTGTGTGTGTAGGTGTGTGTGGGGTGGGTGTGCAGGGTGTGTGTGTGTGTGTGTTAGGCACCGTCCCTTCCCTCCTCACCAGTCAGTGTTCCCACACTCACTCTGCCCTCCTCTCTCTAGCCTCTCCGGTCCCAAAGAGCCGGGCACCCGCCCACACCTCTCCTTAGCCCTTCACCCCAACTGAACCCTCCACATTCCGTTGCTCACCACAGCCCTCTATCCTGGCTCACCTTGAACACCTCTCTAACGCTGGTCTCCCTGTGCTCCCCAATCCTTGCCTCAACGAACAAACACAGCTGGGTGCCAGCACCCAGATCAAGAAACAGGATCTTCTTAGCACCTCAGAATTTCCCTGCCACGTCCCCCCCGCCGCCCCCCTGTCACTAATCCTCCAGGAGCACCACACTGCTGACTTATGACAGTACAGATTAACGTTGTCTCTCCTCAGACATACATAGAATTTTTTTAAAGATTTTACTTATTTATTTCAGAGAGGGAGAGAGAGAGAGAGAGCAAACATGGGTGGGGGAGGGGGAGAGGGAGAAGCAGACTTCCCACTGAGCAGGGAGCCCGAAGTGGGGCTCAATCTCAGGACCCTGGGATCATGACCTGAGCCGAAGGCAGATGCTTAACTAGCTGAGCCACCCAGGTGCCCCCATATACATAGAATTTTACAGCACGTTCTCTTTTGTGTCTGGTTTCTTCTGCTCAACCCCGTATTGGTGAGATCCATCCATGTTACTACATAGAGTTGTGGTTTGTTCCCATTGCTTTATTTTATCTCACTGTATGAATAAACCACACTTGATTTAATCTATTCTACTGATGTGAGATATTTGGGTAGTTCCCAGTTTGGGGCTATGATGGGTATATTCCTGGGGGTGGAATTGGTGGATCAGAGTGTTAGCATATAGCTCTGGTAGATTTTGGGGATTCTGCTCAACAGTTTTCCAAAGTGCTTGTACTGTCTGGCCCTGCCGGCATCCACACCTGGCCTTCTCTCTAGCCCGGCTTCTGCCTGAGCTGCTGTTTCTGTCCAGCTTCTTGTCCCAGACACTGTCCGTGGTCCTAGCCCTGACCTTGGTCCTGTCCTTGGTTCCAGCCCTGATGGTAGTCCTCAGCTTAAACTGAACTTTTCATTCACTCATATGGTCAATATTTATCAAGCACCTAATATGTGCTAGATGCAAGAATACAGTAGCCAAGAAAAAAACAAGTGCCATGCCTGCCCTCATGGACCTTATCGTCTAGTGGGTAAGATTGAGTGTGGGCAAGAAAGCATTAAAATAATCCCACCAATAAGTATATAATTATAAATTGTTATACATGCAACAAGTGGGAATTACATGGCTCTTTTTTTTTAATCAGTCCTGTTACATGGATATCACATGTTAGGGGGACCTGGGCAGTAAAGTTACCCTGAGGAAGCAATGTGGGGCTGAGATATAAGGGATGAGGAGGCCATGATGAAAGGGAAGAGTGTTTCACATAGAGGGAGCACCATATACAAAAGCCTAGGGTTGGGAAGGGTGTGAGGGACATAAGGTCCATGGGACTGGAGTGGAGAGAAGGAAGGAAGTGTTATGGGAGATGAGGTGAGAGAGGTCAGCAGGGACCAGATGATGCAGGGCTGTTTGTCAGTGTTTGAAGGGAATTTAGAAAGGAGACACTGGAGAGTTTTTAGGGGCAGCGGGACATCCTAGTTGCCTTTGTGAGATTGTAAGGGGCAAGAGTGGAAGCAGAGGGACCAGGTAGGAGGCAAACGCAGTTGTCAAGCAAAAGCTAGGTGATGGCTTGATCTCTAACTCAAAGAGAGAGCGAGAGAGAGAGAGAGAAAGAAGCAAATTAAAGAGATGTTTATGAGAAGGTAAGGGCAAATATCACAAAATATGGTGGCGTTGATGGCGGTTAGGTTTCTAGGTTGCTCTAGGTTTCTAGGTTTCTGGATGAATGGTGGGGCCGTGAGCTGCAGTGGAGAACACAAGAGAAGGGATGGGGTACAGGAAGGGTGACCATGAGTTCAGTTTCAGACATGTTGAATTTGAGGTGCCCAAGAAGAGTCGCCAAGTAGCCAGTTGGATACATTGCTTGGAGTTAAGAGGAGATGACTGGGCTAGTTTATAAACTGGGGTATAGTTTGGAAATTAAAATCCTGGGTCTGGGTGAAAGTACCTAGATGAGTGACTAGAAAAGTAGGTCTCAACTTTGGCTGCACATTACAATCACCTGGGGTGCTTTTAAAAAATACTGAGTACAATTTAGTGCTTCCGTTACTCTAGGCACATCTCAAGTGTTCAAGAGCCACATAGTTCTCCTGGCTACTGTACGGACAGCTGGATACAAAATGTTGTGAAATGGAAGATGTGGTCAACAGTGTCCAGTGATTTTTGAGACAGGTCAAGTAAGATGAAGACAAATGTCTCTCAGATTTTGTGACACTGAGATCTTTGGGCAATCTTGGGGACAGCTGTTTGATAGGTTGAAAGGGGGTGGGGCAGCCAGATGGGGAGTGCACTGAGGCATTCGTGGGATGGGATATGGGGAATGGAAACAGCAAATACAGATAAATCTTTTGACAACTGAAGCCATGAAGTAGAGGAGGGAAATATGTGCTGGCTGGAGGGAGTATGAGATTGGGGAAGGTTTTGGTTGTGGTTGTTGTTGTTTAGAGAGAGAACACGCGCACGCGCATGTGTGCGCAAGGGAGGGGGAGGGGGCAGAGGGAGAGAGAATCTCCAGCAGACCCGAAGCAGGGCTTGATCTCAGAACCCTGAGATCATGACCTGAACTGAAGTTAAGAGTTGGATGCCGGGGCGCCTGGGTGGCTCAGTTGGTTAAGTGACTGCCTTCGGCTCAGGTCATGATCCTGGAGTCCTGGGATCGAGTCCCGCATCGGGCTCCCTGCTCGGCAGGGAGTCTGCTTCTCCCTCTGACCCTCCCCACTCTCCTGCTCTCTCTCTCTCATTCTCTCTCTCAAATAAATAAATAAAATCTTTAAAAAAAATTTCAATTTATGAAATACACAAATCTAAAGTGTATAGCTCAATTAATCTTTGAATATGTATACATCTGTTTAACCACCACCCAGATCAAAGTACAAAATATTTCCAGTAATCCTATGTGTCTTCTAATAGTAAAGAGTAACTCTGCCTGTTTTTGAAACTCATGTAAATAGCATCATTCACAAAGTTCTCTTTTTGTATCTGGTTTCTTTTGCTAGAATTATGTGTGTGAAATTGTCTATGTTGTTACATGCAGCAAGAGGGTGTTTTCATTGCTGTGTTTCATTGTATGATTGTGCCGCAATTTGTTTATCTGTTCTATTAATGGAACTTGTTTCATTTGGCTGATATGAAGAAAATCTCATGAACATTCTTGTACATATCTTTTGGAGAATATATGCAGTTATTTCTGTTGGATATTTACCAAGAAGTGGAATTGCTGGGTTATAGGCTCTATGTCTTTGTAAATACTGCCCAATAGTTTTCCAAAGCAGGTGCACTAATTTATGCTCCTGCTTGCAGTCAATGAGAGTTCTAGTTGCTTCACATTCTTGTCAATATCAAGTAACAACAACCCCTTTAATTTTAGCCATTCTGATGGCTATATAATGGCATATTGTTGTGGTTTTAATTTGCATTTCTCTGGTTACTAGTTTTGTTACACACCCATATATATGTTTGTTTTCCATCTGTTTATTGGTCCTTTGGATATATTCTTTTCTGGAGTACTGGTTTAAGACTTTTGTCAATTTAAAACACTGGGTTGCCTGTCTTGTTTTTGTTTGTTGTTTTTGTTTTGCAGGGGTTTCTTATTTTAGATTTTGATCCTCTCACTCACTCTCAATATCTCTCACTCTCTCTCCCACCCCCGCTACCTCTTGGCATTTCTCATATATTTTATCCCAGTGTATGGCTCCCCCCCCCCCCCGAGTGTATGACTTTTATTCTTATTCTCTAAATGGTGTCTCTGGATGACCAGAAGTGATCAATTTAATGAGTCCTAATGTATCCATCTCTTTTTTTATGGTTAAGTTTTGTGTGAAATATTTTATGGTTATATTTTATGTGGTTAGGTGCGCCCAGGTGGCTCAGATGGGTAAGCGTCTGCCTTCGGCTCAGGTCATGACCCCAGGGCCCTAGGATTGAGTCCCGCATCAGGCTCCCTGCTAGGCGGGGAGCCTGCTTCTCCCTCTCCCTCTGCCTCTGCCTCTGCCTCTCTCTCTCTCTCTCTGACTCTCATGAATAAATAAAACATTTTAAATTAAAAAAAATTTATGTTGTTAGGTTTTAAGAAATCTTTGCTCTAAGGTTGTAAAAATTTTCTCCTATTTTTCATTTATACAGTATTGTTCTGAAAGATACTGCTTTACCTTTTGTAATTAGGTCCATTAGATTCACCTCAAATTAATTTCTGTATGTGGACATAAGAGAGAGATAGATTTTTTTTCCATCTGGATCTTTCCTCATTTATCAAAAAGAGCATCCATTCTCTTTTTAATTGCAGTGCCGCCTTTATATGTGGTCATGTATCTGGACACTCTTCTGTTCTATCTATCTATCCTTGCACCTTTATCAGTTTTGATATTTGGTAATGTAAGTACTGAGGAAGAAGGATATTCTCAAACGACAGGAGATACTTGAGCTCCTATAAAAGCTGACAGGAAGGATTTTGCGGAGAGTGAGGGATTGAATAAAAGGGGGAGAGAGGATAATCTTCACCTAAGAAGATAATAGGAGCTGGGTTCCAGGTGCTTGTGGAAGGATTGGCCTTGTACACTCATCCACTAATCCATTCAACGAGAATGTGTCGGGGAGCCCCCGTGTGTCAGCCACAGGCGTATAGCAGTGCCAGGACAGACGAGGTCCCTGTTCTCATGGAGTTCCCACGTTAGTAGTGGGAGACAGGTAACAGACAAGTACCCACAGGAACAGGTGATTCAGGCAGCAGTAAATGCCATGAAGAACATAGGTAGGACACTGCCTTAGAGAGCAATGGAAGCCCACTCCAGTGGGGCACCAGGGAAGGTCTTGGGATGCAAGACATGTGGTAGGATTTGAACCAAGAAGGAGCCAGTCTTGAAGAGCATCCCAGACAGAAAGAATGTACAGCTAAAAGGCCCTTAGACTAATGTAAGCTTGTAGTATCTGTAGAACAAACAAAAGACCAGTGTGGGTGGACCAATAAAGAAGAAAAAGAAGGGGGCAGGGAGCTGGGTAATCAAATGACATCAGAAAGCAAATAATACATTATATGTTAAAAAAAAAAGAAGAAGAAGAAGAAGTAGAAGAAGATAGCAGGAGGGGTAAAATGAAGGGGGGAATCGGAGGGGGAGATGAACCATGAGAGACAATGGACTCTGAAAAACAAACTGAGGGTTCTAGAGGGGAGGGAGGTGGGAGGATGGGTTAGCCCGGTGATGGGTACTAAAGAGGGCACGTTCTGCATGGAGCACTGGGTGTTATACACAAATAATGAATCATGGAACACTACATCAAAAACTAATGATGTAGGGCGCCTGGGTGGCTCAGTCGGTTAAGCGACTGCCTTCGGCTCAGGTCACGATCCTGGAGTCCCGGGATCGAGTCCCGCATCGGGCTCCCTGCTCAGCGGGGGGTCTGCTTCTCCCTCTCCCGCTCTTCCTGCTTGTGTTCCCTCTCTCGCTGTGTCTCTCTCTGTCAAATAAATAAATAAAATCTTAAAAAAAAACTAATGATGTAATGTATGGTGATTAACATAACATAATAAAAAGAAAGAAAGAAAGAAAGAAAGAAAGAGAAAGAAAGAAAGAAAAGAAAGAAAGAAAGAAAGTAAGAAAGAAAGAAAGAAAGAAAAAGAAAGAAAGAAAGAAGAAAGAAAGGTAGAGACCAAATCGGCCCAAGGAGGCTATCCCTTAGGGTTGGGCTGAATGTGGCGTTTCCCATGCATGTGAGTTGGTAGATTAGTTGTGGGTGATGGGACTGTGGGTGTGTATATTGGGGGAGGTGGGGAGCTATCTTGTCTCCTTCTCTGTGAACCTGCTCACATGTGCCCTCTCTCCCTGCAGCCTCCTGAGTGATGCCAGCCCAATGGTTCCTAATCTCCAGACTGGCCCTCTTGGTACTGCTGGGCACAGTCAGAGCAGGCCCTTTCTCTCCACGGTCCAATGTGACACTCCCAGCCCCACGTCCCCCTCCCCAGCCGGGGGGCCACACAGTGGAGCCAATAGGGGGAAGCCCCTCTTCTCAGCTTTATGAGCACACTGTGGAAGGAGGGGAGAAGCAGGTAGTTTTTACCCACCGCATCAACCTGCCCCCTTCAGCTGGCTGTGGTTGTCCCCCGGGCCCGGAGCCCCCCATTCCTGCTTCAGAGGTGCAGGCCTTGAAGCTCCGGTTAGAGATCCTGGAGGAGCTGGTGAAGGGGCTGAAGGAACAGTGCACTGGGGGATGTTGTCCTGCTGCTGCCCAGGCTGGCACAGGTGAGCAGACAGATGATCAGGAGAGGGGGCACAGAAAAAGAGGAAGGTGGGCATCACTAGTCCATAAAGGACCTTGGTCTAAATTAGAAAAAAGCATCTCTTCTTCCCCTTTGGGGGTGGTGAGTGCAGCCCAGGGCACAACTCAGAGAGAGAAGCCACCAGACTAGGTGTCAGCACTTCCCTCCCCTGTCCCCAAGTATATGCTAGGGCCTTGGCAGACCACATATATTGACTAGGAGTACCTGGAAACAAAGATGACCTTATGAAATGAGCCTGGCCCTGCTGGAGGGGCGGACGGAGGGGAGCACCCTATGGGCTTGGTATCCCTCCGCAGAGACTGAGTCCTGCCTCTCCCTCTTACTCCAGGCCAGACGGATGTTCGTAGCCTCTGCAGTCTCCACGGCGTGTTTGACCTGAGCCGCTGTGCCTGCTCCTGCGAGCCAGGCTGGGGTGGGCCCACCTGCTCAGACCCCACAGGCGCTGGGGTGCCCCCATCATCCCCACCCTCAGCCTCCAGGGCCTGCCCAGATGACTGCAACGATCAGGGTCGCTGTGTCCGTGGGCGCTGCGTGTGCTTCCCTGGTTACAGCGGCCCCAGCTGTGGCTGGCCCTCCTGCCCCGGGGACTGCAACGGCCGTGGGCGCTGCGTGCAGGGCGTGTGCGTGTGCCGGGCGGGCTTCTCCGGCGACGACTGCAGCCAGCGCTCCTGCCCCCGGGGCTGCAGCCAGAGGGGGCGCTGCGAGGACGGGCGCTGCGTGTGCGACCCGGGCTACGCGGGCGACGACTGCGGGGTAAGGAGCTGCCCTAGAGGTTGCAGCCAGAGGGGGCGCTGCGAGAACGGGCGCTGCGTGTGCGACCCCGGCTACGCGGGAGACGACTGCGGGGTGAGGAGCTGCCCCCGGGGCTGCAACCAGAGGGGGCGCTGCGAGGACGGGCGCTGCGTGTGCGACCCCGGCTACACGGGCGACGACTGCGGCTCGCGGAGCTGCCGGTGGGACTGTGGCGAGGGCGGGCGCTGCGTGGACGGCCGTTGCGTGTGCTGGCCCGGGTACGCGGGCGACGACTGCAGCACCCGCACGTGCCCGCGAGACTGCCGGGGCCGCGGGCGCTGCGAGGACGGCGAGTGCATCTGCGAGGCAGGCTACAGCGGGGACGATTGCGGAGTGCGCAGCTGCCCAGGCGACTGCAACCAGAGGGGCCGCTGTGAGGACGGGCGCTGCGTGTGCTGGCCCGGGTACACGGGGCCCGACTGCGGCTCGCGCGCCTGCCCCCGCGACTGTCGGGGCCGCGGGCGCTGTGAGAACGGCGTGTGCGTGTGCAACGCGGGCTACAGCGGCGAGGACTGCGGCGTGCGCAGCTGCCCCGGGGACTGTCGCGGCCGGGGCCGTTGCGAGAGTGGTCGCTGCGTGTGTTGGCCCGGGTACACAGGCCGGGACTGCGGCACGCGCGCCTGCCCTGGCGACTGTCGTGGGCGCGGGCGCTGCGTGGACGGCCGCTGCGTGTGCAACCCCGGCTTCGCGGGCGAGGACTGCGGGAGCCGTCGGTGCCCTGGGGACTGCCGCGGGCGCGGGCGCTGCGAGGAAGGCGTGTGCGTGTGCAACGCGGGCTACGAGGGAGAGGACTGTGGCGCGCGCAGCTGCCCGGGAGGTTGCCACGGGCGCGGCCAATGCCGGGACGGGCGCTGCGTGTGTGACGATGGCTACTCGGGCGAGGACTGCAGCGCAAGGCGGTGCCCGCTAGACTGCAGCCAGCACGGCGTGTGCCAGGACGGCGTGTGCACCTGTTGGGAGGGCTACGCAGGCGAGGACTGCAGCCTCCGTACCTGCCCCTCCAACTGCCACCAGCGCGGCCGCTGTGAGGGTGGGCGATGCGTGTGCGACTCAGGCTACACCGGCCCCTCCTGCGCCACCCGCACCTGCCCGGCCGACTGCCGCGGGCGCGGGCGCTGTGTGCACGGCGTGTGCGTGTGCCACGTGGGCTACGGCGGCGAGGACTGTGGGCGGGAAGAGCCTCCCGCCAGTGCCTGCCCTGGCGGCTGTGGGCCCCGGGAACTGTGCCGCGCGGGCCAGTGTGTATGCGTGGAGGGCTTTCGAGGACCCGACTGCGCCACTCAGACGTGCCCTGGGGACTGCCGTGGCAGGGGAGAGTGTCGTGAGGGCAGCTGCGTCTGTCAAGATGGTTATGCAGGGGAAGACTGCGGGGAAGGTGAGCAGGCAGGGTCAGGGACTGGGAACCAGAGCCAGTGGGAAGGCCTGAGCCTGAGGCCTAGGAGCCCAGGGACCTGGGGGAAGAGTGAAGGAGGTCAATTATTGGGCAGGGGGATGGGGAGGGGGGCAGTCATAGGAGCCGAGGGCCAGTGTCCACCAGGGGCAACAGAACCACGGGGGGCATGCTTGCAGGCAGGCCCCGCTTTCAGATTTCTGATGAGCAGGTTGGCGGCTCCTTTAGTTGCTTTTAGGGAGATTCTGTGTTTCTGGAGATGGGGGAGGGAAGGTGAAGGAGCCCCCAGGGCCTGTTCAGGCCTCTGCCAGTTTTGTACCACCTCCAGAGAGGAGCAGGAACTGGGATTGATCTTATGGTGTGGCTCTGAGTAGGGGGGCCTTTGATGATAGGGGTAGGGGGTGGGGGGCTGCCTCGGACTAACCACCTTCCCATATCTCATTCTCCTGGGCAGAGGTGCCAGCCATTGAGAGCATGAGGGTGCACCTCTTGGAGGAGACAACGGTTCGGACAGAGTGGACCCGGGCTCCTGGCACGGTGGATGCCTATGAAATTCAGTTCATTCCCACGGTGAGAGCTAAGCTGCAGGAGGGGGCTGAGGGGGCACGACCTGTGGGAGGGAGTGCTCGCCTCAAGCAGGGAGTTCCAGGTAGTCAGTGGTTGAGTCCACACTGGCTAGGTTCCTGAAGCTGCCATAAAGGCCTTCTCATCCTACCGCACACTGGGTCCAGAAGGCCTCTGCAGCCTCAGGTCACTGCTGCTGGGACTACCTCTGGTGACAATGAGCTCAGGACTTCCTGAGGCTGTCCAATCCATTGTTGGTCATCACCAGTAGTTCTTTCTGTTGTTGCTGAACCTAAATCTGCCCCATTCTACATCCATCCGTTTGCCCAGCATCAGCATATTGCCTTTGGTTTCCCCACAGCTTCCACCACAGGCTTTCAGGTATTTGGAGACATCGGCCATCACCGCACTCTTCATTCTCTCCAGGCCAAACCCCCTGGTTTCTTCACCCCTTTTCCCTAAGGCTTTGTTCTCTGAATTCTTCACTTCCTGGGATCCCTCCTCTAGTGCCTCATGCTTTTTGCATTTGCCCCCAAAATGTGAAGGCAGGGAGGAGTCCTGTAGTTCTCCTGGCTAACTCTGGATAGCCCGGCAATTTTCTCAGAACTGATGTATATTAACTTGTGGTCACAAAAACTGTCAACTGTTGTTTTTTTTTTTTAAAGATTTTATTTATTTATTTGACAGAGAGACATAGCGAGAGAGGGAACACAAGCAGGGGGAGTGGGAGAGGGAGAAGCAGGCTGCCCGCCAAGCAGGGAGCCCAATGTGGGGCTCGATCCCAGGACCCTGGGATCATGACCTGAGCCGAAGGCAGACGCTTAACGATCCAGGTGCTCCTGTCAACTGTTTTGATCATGTTTGTTTTTAAAGTAACTTTTATTATAAAAGTCATGTTGGCTCAGTATAGAAACTTTAGAAAATGTAAACAAGGAAAAGAGAAAGAAGAAAAAAAGAAGGAAAAAAGATGACATTCAACTATATACACTTTTTTAGCCTAAATATAGGCCTTTGCATGTGGCTCTGTTCAGTGTTATCTTTTTTGGTTTGGGCCAAGCTGTCTAGGCTGCTGCAATAATTTGAGTCTGTGAACTGGTTCTCCCGCCTCCGTGTCATCAGTGCGCTGCAAAGCATTCTTTCTGTTTCCTTCCAACTCGCCCTTAAAATATTTGGGGCACCCAAAGGACAAAACCTTGTGGCCTCTCACTAGAGACCCCCTTTTATGCAGATTGGGCTTTTATGATGTTTGGCCTCCCAGCTCCAAACCATTTGACATTTCTACTGTCTAACTCATGTCTTCCTGCATCTTCGTGCAAACACCCTGGGCGAATAGGCCATTTACCCTAATCTCCAAAACTCTGGAAAAATAAATAAGTCCCAGGGCCTAAACCCTAGGAGGGCTCTAGAACAGAAGGGACAGCTCAGAGGTGCTGGCTGCCATCCCCACCCTAATTGGCCTGGTCATTCTAAGTCTTCTTATTAGAGCCCGAAGACCAGACCCCTACCAGGCTCTGTCTCTCCTCACTGGCTGGGGGAAGCAGAGGCAGAAATTCCTACTTTGCAGCACAACCCATATAGCTTGGGTTTTTTCCTTCTGTTTAAAAGAAAAAAAAAATTGTTTTTTGTTATAAAAATAATTTAATCACAAGACAGGAATTTGGCAACTAGAGAAAAAAACAAATAATTCTTGGCTGCTTCGCACTAAAACAAGCACTGTTAACATTTTTAAGTGTTTCTCCCACTCTCTTCTTCTGTGTGTATGTTATTGACATAGTTCTGATCTTGAGAGGATGGGACTTTTAAAAGGAACTTCCCTAAGAACTTCAGGGAAAGAAGAATTAAAATAAACACTTGAGATAGAAAGAGCTTGCAAGGCAGCGTGGTCCTCTGCTCTTAGTAAATATGAGCCCATCTTTGGGTGTTTTCAAGATGTGGGTCTTCCCAGCTGAAGCTCTAGGCTTTCTCCCTCACCAGGGGCCAGGTGGGGTCGAGCTGGCCTGTACCCGGCTCAGCTCATCTCTGGGTATGAGCCTCTGTCACATTCTGGGTTCTCTTTGAACCCGGGTGTGGAAAAGGCTCCTGTAAAATTGGTCCCCGGACACCTCTCTTGGACTGCACATTAGCCTGTGCTACTGGCCCTCCAACTGCTTTCTAAGCTTTCCGTGGCTGTGCCCCTGCCCTGGCCAGCGCTCTCTGTCCATCCCTGCTTGGCACAGAGTATACCGGTAGCTGGCTGGCCTCTGGCACTGCCATCTTCTTAGAAGCCTATCTCCCCCTTACCCCCTTCCCTTTTCCAGAAGCACTTCTGTCTCAAAGCCCAGCCCTCTGCTGTTCCTGGCAAAGGGACACACCTAGTCACTGGAATGATCCTCAGAACATGGAAGAGGAACATTCCTCCTTCTCCCTGTATACGTGGCATTGCTACTCTGACTCAGTGGTTCTCAAACCGTATTCCCTGGACCTGCAGCATGAGCATCACCTGGAAGCTTGTTACACAGGCAGACTGTCAGACTCCAGCCCCAGATCTACTGAATTCGGAACTGTGCAGCTGGAGTCCAGTAACCTGAGCTATAACAAGCCCTCCAGGGGATTCTGTTGTACCCCAAGCCTGATGACCACTGACTCAAGGAATGTTGTTATTTTGCAAAAGGCTGGTTCCTCTCTGGATATGAGAGGAAGCAAGAAGTAACTGAGGGAGGTGAGCCCTTGAAGAGGAGGAGGGTCAGGCACTCTTTGTCCGGATGTATTCTGCAGCCTAGAACCTGAGCTATGCCATGTTTTCACTGGGACACAAGACCTCGTGGCCTTAGAAAAGTTTGTATTTGGGTCTGGTCTGAAAGGGGGAGGTTGGGGAGGTAAGCTCCAGGGCCCAACCAAGATGGCGCCCCCCCCACCCCGGCCGGAACCATGAGGTTGGTATGGAGCCCAGGGTTAGAAACTCACCAAGGACAATCAGTGAAGCAGCCGAGCAATCAGCAAGGGGTGCCAGCATCGGCCTAGAGAGCCTGTCTCAGACCAGACAGATGAGGGATGTGGGACTTTGAGGGGACTGTTCCCAAATGGGTCTTAGGAGGGAGTAAGAGGTGTCTAAAAGGCTCACGTAGGTGGTCTGAAGGGAGAAGGGGAACTCAAGATGGGCTTGTTTCACTAGAAGGACCAGACGTCATCAGGGAGCACCCAAGGGGTGTGTGTGGGGGGTGGGGGGAGTTGGGGAGGTGTGTATGTGTGTCAGGTTGGGTTGGGGGGATTGGGGAAAGAGAAAGTTCTGGCAAGAATGAAGACTTCACAGGCCTTCAGCTGAGGCCCACCCAAGGGCTCCTAGGCTGGAGTATCCTCGGGCAGGGTGAGTAGGAGAGGAAGAGAGGGCCTGTGTGCCCAGGAACACTTTTTGGCCAACAAAACTCTGACAAAGCTTTATTTCATCCTCAACCCAGAAATCTCCACGTGGCCTCTCATCTGGTTTTATACTTTGGTATTTACTGTGTTGATTTCCCCACAATTTTCTTGGTTTAGGAGAGTACCTTTTGAAATTTCCAATCCTACTTGGCTGAATGGAGGTGTCCCCATCACGGCCAACATAGCTAAGCAGAACAGAGCGTCCTTATTATCTGTCCTAGCTAGACAGGCCAGTGAAATTCAGGGCAGTTAGACTGCTCACAGATGTCCATTCCTCCTGTTTCCCCAGTGGCCGGCCCTCCAAGGAGACCCTGCCGAGGCTGGCATATTTCCTGTGGGGTCACCACGGATAATCATAATACCTTCAATGTGTACTTGGAGGGAGGTTGTTTGCTCGCAGGCACGTATGGCACAGAGATTTGGGTAGGGATCCAATCCACCTTAAGATGTGGCCATACATTTAGCTACTAGAACATGAGCTGAGTACAGGAGACATATCTTTCAGCATGCCCAGCATGATGCCAGGTACGAAACTGGGAAACATCTTTGTGAAGCTTAGAGCAGATAGGCTTTGTTTTTGAGGGGCCTACAGCCGTGCTCGGGAGACAAGAAGAGTGCCTAAAGGGAAACGTCAAGACAAGGGTCACAGCCACATTACCCAGCCAGGGGCAGGTGTCTGTGGGGAGGCTTAGGCTGGGGCAGATGCTGTAAGGAGGAAGTGAGACTGGGAAGGTGCGTCCCTCAGTTACTTCATCTCTTATGACAGGAGTGAGCTTGGGAGGCGGGGTAGGCAGGGTTGCCTGGGGAAAGCCAGAGGGAGGATCCTGCCGTGTGCTGGGTAGATTCTGGCAGATAGCTGATGAACCAGCTAAAAAGGTAGTTCCTGTGAGAGGGGGCTGTGAGGTCACACTGCCTGGGGGGTTGGAATCCCTGCCCCATTCTTCGTGTTGGTGACCTTGTGCCTCGGTTTCTTCATCTGTCCAATGGGAATAACACGACCTCCCTCCTAAGGTTCTTTTGAGGATTAAGTGAATTCATTTACGTAAGTTGCCTTGACCGGCGTCTGGTACAGACTAAACCTCTTAGATTACCAGCCATACCCTCCAGCCGTACTCCAAGCTCTACACAGTTCCATGTGGACAGTGCCTGGAACTGGAGAAAGAAGAGATAAGGGAGACTGAGCAGCAGGGGTGAGAGCACCAGCCCTGATCCACTTGGTGCTCTCTTTCTTGCAGACAGAGGGGGTGAGCCCCCCATTCACAGCACGGGTACCCAGCTCTGCCTCAGCCTATGACCAGAGAGGACTGGCGCCTGGGCAGGAGTACCAGGTCACGGTCCGCGCCCTTCGAGGGACTAGCTGGGGCCCTTCTGCCTCCAAGACCATCACCACCAGTGAGAGCTGGGGCTGTGGGCAGGGTCCTGGTTGGAGAGCTGGATTTGAGGGGGGTGGCTGGGAAGGCAGAAGTGAGGGGTGGGGTGGGGACAAAGCTCTTAGAGGGAAAGCTGGTGACTGAAGGCCCAGACTCCCACCTGATCCCTCTTCTCTCTAACCTGGCTAGTGATCGATGGACCACAAGACCTCCGAGTGGCGGCTGTGACACCAACCACACTGGAGCTCAGCTGGCTGCGACCCCAGGCTGAGGTGGACCAGTTCGTGGTGTCCTATGTCAGCGCCGGCAACCAGAGGGTGCGGCTGGAGGTGCCCTCTGAGGTGGACAGGACGGTGCTGACCGACCTGATGCCAGGCGTGGAATATGTAGTGACCGTCACGGCAGAGCGGGGCCGGGCAGTAAGCTACCCGGCTTCTGTCAGGGCCAACACAGGTATGGCTGGCCAGGGCTTAGTGAAGGGCCCGGTTTCTTTGTGTAGCAGCCCCTTCCTTGGGAGCCCATGTCTAGGGTTCCCAGGCTCCTCTGAATGCACCTTGGCAGGGTGTGTGGTAAAGCACCTGCTGGGGCCTTGCTGTGCAATGGCGGCCCTGGGAAGACAGGGCCCTGGGGGGCTGGAGTCCTGGGGGAAGCCTGCAGGTTGGACCACGGGAGGAGCTGCCCCCTGGAGAGAGGGGGTAAATAGGAGAGGCTGTCTGACTCACCCAGATGGGGCGGTGCTTGGAACAGGCACGGGGACAGCCCTGTGCTCACAGCCAGTGGTCAGCCCTGGTAGGGAGTGGAATTAGGCAGATCAGACATCCGCAGTCCTGTGTGTAGATTGGGGTTTGGGGGAGTCAAGTCTCAGAGCAGTGATTTTCCGCTAATCCTCAAGGTCTCTTAACAGATGGATATTTATTTTCTTTTCCTGTGACAGAGGAACGCCCACCTCGCAGTAGCTCACATTCTCTCCTCCCACTCCCCTTTCTCTCCTTCAGACACAGGGCCCCACCTGCTGGCTTCTCTCTCCTTTCTAGGGTTCCAACAGTGGCGGGCTTGGAGGGCGAGCGGGGAGGGGCTCCTGGGACACTGACTCCTTTCTCTGGTTCTCTTTCCAGGTGGGGCTGGGGCACGGGCAAGAGGCCTCTGGCTCCCGCGGGAGGGACGGAGGGAGGGGCTGCCGTGGGGAGGAGCGCAGGGGCGCGGCGGAGGGGCGGGAGGCTGCCACTGACCTGCTCTCCCCTTCCCCCCTTTTTTGCCCCCGGCAGCACCAGGCCACTACAGTTACCCGGAGGTGCGCCCCCCAGCCCCACCCCCCCAGCCCCGTCCCCGGCCGACTCCGGCCCCGCGGCCCCCGCGCCCCGCGCGCCCGGCTCGGCCCTCGCGGCCCGCGGAGGAGGGGGAGGAGGAGTCTCAGCCTGGGCCTAGCCTGCCGCAGCCCCCTCGGCGGGCGTGGGGCAACCTGACGGGCGAGCTGGGCCGCTTCCGCGGCACCGTGCAAGACCTGGAGCGCCACCTGAGGGCTCATGGCTACCCCCTGCGGGCCAACCAGACCTACGCGTCGGTGGCGCGCAACATCCACGAATACTTGCAGCGGCGCCGGGCGGCTGCCGCCCCCGTCGGCTCCCCCGCCCCGTCGCCCCGTAGCCCCCACCCCACCGCCAGCCCCGACCCCGGCACCTGGAAGCGGGACTCCAACCAGGGCATCCACGGCCTCTCGCCCGAAGGCGTCGACCGGGTGGCCGCGCCCCGCCACCCCAAGCCCGAGGTGCTGGGCAGTTCCGCCGACGGCGCACTACTCGTGTCCCTTGACGGGCTCCGCGGCCACTTCGAGCGCGTGGTGCTGCGCTGGCGGCCCCAGCCGCCGGCAGAGGGCCCCGGCGAGGAGCTGACCGTGCCCGGCACCACGCGCACCGTCAGCCTACCTGACCTCAGGCCCGGCACCACCTACCACGTGGAGGTCCACGGGGTGCGGGCAGGGCAGACCTCCAAGTCCTACGCCTTCATCACCACCACAGGTAGCATGGGCTGGGGCCGCGGGACCACCCATCCCCTGCCCAGCCTCGCCTGCCGCTGGAGTCCGCATCCGAGAGTTCCGCCCACCGCCTCACTGCTCAGCCCGCCACCCCACCCCCGCCACACCCCTCGGCCTTCAAGCACTACCCGGTCCAGCCTCCAGGGGACCCCACCGCAAAGCATGGCCTCCGGTGTCCCTAGAAGCCATCTCCACCCCAGGGGCCTCAGGGATACTCAGGGCTGAGGAGAGCCGGTGTTTAGGGTTCCCCGGACACTTTGCCAGGATTGCCATCCTGGGCAACGGAAGGGGCATTTGGGGGGAGGAGGCGGGTCTACAAAAACTCACTGGAGCAGTGTGAGTGGGGCAGCCGAGTGACACCGCCACTTCCGCACTCTGACTCACTGCGGTGAGGGTGGCTGAAGGCTGTGGTCAGTGGTTACTCTTTTCCACAATTTGGCCTTGACCTCAAAGGGACACATCAGAACTGTGTGGGGGTGGCCTTGAAGCCATCAGGCAGCTTGTGTCTGTGAGAGATGAAACCACTTCATGCTTGTCTCTTCCACAGGAGTGATGCTGGGCTCGGGGGAGGGGGGCTCTCTGGCTGCCCTGGGGAGGGCTGTGAACCTGTTCTTTCCCCCCTAGGACCCAGATGCCACCTGAGCTGGATGTACCCACACACACCCCCTCTCTCTTCCCTCTCTCTTCACTACCCACTCTTCCCTCGCATCTGCCTTCCCTAACAGCACCTCTCCCCCTTTCTTCCAGGCTTCTCAGCGTGGCACTAATGGAAGCCACGATCACCACGGGGTGGGGGATGGAGGGGGAGGGAGGGGGGAGGGATGTGCTTAGGGAGGGCGGTGGCAGTCTGTGGGGGGTTGGAGGTCATAGGAGCCTTGTGAGGGGAGGGATGGCCGCATTTCTTTTAGTTATTGCCCGCAGGCCTGTCTGTCCAGAAATGTGGTGGGCAGGGGTGCTGGGAGGACTGGGCAGACCGTTGGGAGGATGTGGTGGCCCAGGGAGCAGACTCAGGAGCAGGGAGGGAGGGTCTGTAGGCTCTTCGAGGCTAGAAGGCAGAACCTGGGGGCTGGGATTTCCTTTCTTGCTCTCATTCTCGACTCTCCTGTTTTTCTCACCCTGCCCTTTCCCAGGGTCCTCTCCCTCGGGCCTCTTTGGGGCCACTGATGAGCCTCCTCCCTCAGGCCCTTCCACAACTCAAGGGGCCCGGGCCCCCGAACTGCAGCAGCGCCCCCAGGAGCTGGGAGAGTTGAGGGTGTTGGGCAGAGACAAGACAGGGAAGCTCCGCGTCGCTTGGACAGCTCAGCCCGACACGTTTGCCCACTTCCAGCTGCGCCTTCGGGTGCCCGAGGGGCCGGGAGCGCACGAGGAACTCCTGCCAGGGGACGTCCGCCAGGCTCTGGTGCCCTCACCCCCTCCTGGAGCCCCCTATGAGCTGTCACTCCGCGGGGTCCCCCCGGAGGGCGTGCCCTCTGCCCCTCTCATCTACCAAGGCATTATGGGTATATCCTGCACTGCTCAGCTCAGTGTCCTGAGGATGGGGGAGGGGCTGGGCCATCCGGGCTTCAGAGGTGGGGTGGGGATGGAAGGGCTGGGCCAGTGTTTGGATTGCAGTGGTAAGAGCAAACAAGGAGAGAGAAGGTTGGAGTAGAAGGTTCGGAGGAAAGAGGAATGGAGGGAGTCTTAGAACAATGAAGGGGAAAAGAGGATGGGAGGAGAAAAGTCAGAGGGTGGGGCAGGGAGTCAGAAAGAGAGGCTGTAGGCTTCTGGCTTTCCACCAGCAGCCTTCTTTGCCCTGTGTCCTCCCCAATTCCTGGTCACTCATAGATCTCTGCGGGTAGGCGTGGCAAGGCCTCTAGCCCTGAGGGTACTGGCCCTTAGCCCCCTCTTCCCCTTCTCTTCCCCGTAGCCCCACCATCCCCTCACTGGGCAGGCTAGGACGGTGGCCCCCCACCCTGGGAGGCTGGCCGCAGTGGACAGTGCTGCATGGTCCTACCACCCCGTTTCTGCTGGGGATGGAGGTTCCTTAGCATAGGAGCTTCAGAGATGGGTGAGGTTGGTGGAACCCGTGAAGCACTCACTTTCCCTCCCAGTCCCTCTTTATGGGACTCGGGTAGCTGCTCTGCCGGCCACTCCAGGTCAGGCTCAGCGCTAGGAGAGCAGGTAGCGAGGAAGAGAAAAGTCCAAGTGGGCGGAGGAGTCTTCAGCTGCTCCAGAGCAGCAGTGAGGAGGTTCTGACTCAGGAAGAGCCGGAGGGGACCTGAAACTCCCCCAAAGCTCTTGATGTGGAGAGGGACTGGGCTGTTTGCGAGGCGTGGGGAAGCCAGCAAAAGGGAAGGGCTAAAGCTCTCACTGCAGAACAAAGAGGGCTGCTCACAGAGGCCTGGGAGGGGAGGAAGGGGAGGCTTTGAGCAACGGAGCTGTCCAGGAAGGAGGGACCCAGTGGGCTGAGGAGAGGGAAGGAGACCAGAGACGAGGCAATGGTTGAGTCCACCTGCTTTACTTTTGCTCCCACATTCCAGACAAGGATGGGGCGAAGCTTGGGAAGCCCTTGGCCCCGCCACGCCTGGGCCAGCTGATAGTCACTGACATGACGTCCAACTCCCTGCTCCTGCACTGGACGGTCCCCGAGGGTGAATTCGACTCCTTCGTGATCCAGTACAAGGACAGGGATGGGCCCCAGGTGGTACCTGTGGAAGGATCCCAGCGCTCAGCCCTCATCACCAACCTGGACCTTGGCCGCAAGTACAAATTCCTGCTATATGGGCTCCTGGGCAAGAAGAGGCATGGCCCCCTGGTGGCTGAAGCCAAGATCCGTGAGTGAGAACAGTCACACCGACCCCTACCCCTGCCCCCTGCATGGTCTTGAAGGAGGTCCTCCCAGTGCTTTGGGAACTCCAGGAAGGCTTCCTGGAGGCATTGGGGCCTGAGATGAATCCTGAAGGGAAAATAGTGGTGGGTCAGGCAGAGAGGTTGGGAAGGGCAGTGCAGACAGAGGGAGCCATGGAGAGTGAGGCAGGAGCGAGTGTGGCTCTGGAGGAGAATCTGTCTGTTTCCTCTGGGTGGAGAGCAGGGCACCTGGGGAGCTGAGGGGACTGGGCTTGTGTGTGTCTGACTAAGGAGCTTGGAGCTCATGTGAGGGTTGTAAGTGGGAATGACATGATTTGATACTTATCTCACATAACCCTGGGGCTGCTGCAGAGTGTAGCTGGAGAAGTGAGTTAAGAGCCAGCAAGCAATGATGCTGGCCTGCCTGGGATGGAGGCAGTGAGGCTGGATGTGGCAGGTGGAGGACAATGAGGAGGCCCAGGCACTCCCCTGTTTCTAGAGCAGACAGTCCCGTGCTCTGAGGCAAGGAACAGTGGAGGTGAGGACCAAGCACAGCTTGGGACACTTAGATAAACCTCTGTGGAGCATTTGTTAACAAGATTTTCTCAGTGTATCAGCACACTTACTGGCTACAGCAGCCCTGTGAGGCGCGCCCGTTTATAGATGAGGAGAGTCCGGGCACGGAGATGGGGAGGGCACTTAAGCAGAAAATGGCGGGGCCACGGGGTGATCACTGCTGCCCTCCCCGGTCTGGAGAGCAGAGAGAAGGCCTGAAGAGGGGACCTGCGAGACAGGAGCCAGGGTGAGGGGGGGCGGGGAGCAGAGACGCTGGCCAACACTCAGGGCATGGGCAGAGGAAGAGGAGCATGCAGGGTAGCCTGAGGGGGTGACTCACGGAGAGGGGACAGCGAGGGAGAGTGGTGTCCTGGATGCCAAAATGAAGGGCGCGGTCAGACATGTCAGATTCCGTACGAGTGAGTCCACAGGACTTAACAGTGGCGAGGTCACTGCTGGCCCGGTTGAGAGCTGCCAGTGGAGGGTGGAGCTCAATTGAGAGGGTGATGGACGTGAGGACATGGCTACAACCAGTGTAGACGGCTCTTTCTGGAATCTGGGCTGGGACTAGAGAGCAAGGAGGGTGGGTAGAGGATGGAGGGAGCTAGTGGCCAAGGGGAGGAGCTCCTGCAAATGCCAGGGGGCACAGTGGTGGGGAGTGAAGTGTTGGTGGTACAGGGTGGGAGAGAAGGAGGTGGGGCCCCCGAGCACAGGTGTGGGAGGCTCTCCCGCATTCAAAAGCTCCAAAGATGGTGCTTCCCTCTCTTGGAGGAGAAGCGGGCTCGTAGTTAGGTCTGGAAGCAGTAGAGATTGCCCTGGGAGACTTCCCTGGCTGTGGAGACACAGAAAGAGATGGCTGGGCTCCCTTCTCTCCGAAGCACCTCACTAGGCTGCAGAGTCAGGGCCACACTAGTCCATACGGTGCTTCTGCGCCCTTTAGAAGGCACCCTTCCTTAGGTGAGCATAGCTCTGTGCCAGGGCACACAGTTTGGCAAGCAGAGGGTGGCTGCATTTCAGTCCCTCAGTGCTCCCTCAGCCATGCGCCTTTGTGCAGTGAACAGCCTGCACAACCTCACACAACATCCCTACGTGGGAGATGGAGCCCCCCTCTTCCTTTGACCTGTGTTCCTCCTTTCTCTCTACCTCTCCTCCCAGTGCCTCAGAGTGATCCCAGCCCAGCGACTCCACCCCGCCTCGGAAAGCTGTGGGTGACAGATCCCACCCCAGACTCACTGCACCTCTCCTGGACTGTCCCTGAGGGCCAGTTTGACTCCTTTGTAGTCCAATATAGGAACGGGGACGGACAGCCCCAAGCGATGCCCGTGGAAGGGCCCGAGCGCTCGATCATTGTCTCCTCGCTGGAGCCTAACCACGAGTACAGATTCACTCTGTTCGGGATTGCCAACAAGAAGCGGCATGGCCCCCTCACAGCCGATGGCACCACTGGTGAGTGGCAACCACCTAAGCCCCCATGTGACCCTTCCCAGCCTTCCCCACACTTGCCCTCAGCTGGGAACCGGGGGGGCCTCCCAGTGTGATGGCTGACTCCGAGTCCTGGCCCCGCTCCCAGGCTGAGGGAGAGCCAGCCTCCCCCATCCTGCTAGGGCCCTTCCATCCCATTCAGCTGCTCCCCAAGGCCCAGAAGATGTGTCATACCCTGGCTGGGCCAGACTTCCCAGGAGGTCAGCTCTCCTAATTGATGCTAACTGAATAGTGACCCCCGGGTATGACGGCCCATCCAAACCCCGAACCCCAATCTGAGGCTGCCAGTACAGCCCTCACTGGATCCTCTTATTTACAGCCTCAGAGCAGACAGCGGAGTCCCTCCACCCAGAGGCCACAGTGCAGCCCCTGCTGGGGAAGCTGTGGGTGACTCAGGCAAACCCAGACTCCCTGCGCCTGTCCTGGACCGTGACCCAGGGCTCCTTCGACTCCTTCGTGGTCCAGTACAAGGATGCGCAGGGCCAGCCCCAGGCGGTGCCCATCAGGGGGGATGAGAACGAGGTCACCATCCCGGGCCTGGAGTCCCACCGGAAGTATAAGATGAACCTCTATGGGCTTCATGGCAGGCAGCGTGTGGGACCTGTGTCCGTGGTGGCCACCACCGGTGAGTCAAGGCCTCCCAGACCTCCCTCTGAGTAGGACCTGGCCCAGGGGCTCCTTCAGACCTCCCTCCACCTTTTCCTTCCGGGCTCCAGTCCTGCCAAGCCTCTACCCTCTACTTCCCCACATCCCAGGACCTCTCATCCAGCCACCAGCCCCTGGCCTTTTTCTCAGCCCTGCTTCTCCATCTCCAAGAACAGGTCCATTTTCCCCATTCCAAACATCTGGAACACCTCCACCCAGGGCTGTCCTCCCCACAGATATCCTCAGCCACTGTGTTCCTTCCCCTACCACAGCCTGGCTGAGGCTGCAGTCATTTCCGGCTTCCGCCACCAGCTGCCCGCACCCTCCCACCATTGCTGCTCGGCTCAGAGTCCACAGATCCAAGGCACAAGAGTCCCTCCTTTCCCTCAGCTTCTTTCTGGCATGAAAAGGCCTCATCCCGGACCCCCAAATCCCTGACTCCCACCAACTGGGAGCAGGGCAAAGGGCCCCATTTCATTCCTCCCACCGCCCCTCATTCCTCCACCTGTCCAGGCTCCCTCTGGTCAGCACCATTTCTGTGGTTGTGTAGCCTCGTGGTTGGGAGCACAGGCTGTGGATCCAGCTGCCTGGATTTTAAGCCTAGCTCTGCAATTTACTACCTGTGGGACTTTGTGTAAATTACTGAACCTCTGAACCTCAGCTTCCTCATCTGTCAAATGAGGATAATGGTACCTGCTTCAGAGTCATTAGCATTAAATCAGTCAGTGTACAAACATACATGCTTAGAACAGTGCCTGGCGCATCAGAACCACTGTTCAGGAGCAAGCTGCTATTTCTCCCTGACACTCTCCCTTCCTGGTATCCTTTTCATGTCCTCATCTCCCTACCTTGCCCACCCTTGCATGCTCCGTCTCAGTCTCCTGTCCCCTGAGTAGTACTCCAGTAGTACCCCCAGGGAGTGGGTCACAGAAGCCAGTCTCCCTTCTCCACGGAGCCTCAGCAAAGACCGAGTTGCCAGACGGTGGATAGGTGTCCCCGGGGCTGTGATTCTAGATGCAGCCAGGGAAGAGCGAAGCCTTTCCCAGCCCCTCCACCCCCACATCTTTCTCCACCTTCACATCTTTCTCCACCCTTGTCTGAAGAGGAAGGAGGGGCCGGGCTGCCCAGGGAGGCCTTAGCCAGGGCACATTCTGTCTGGTGCCCTGCTAAGTGGGGTGGGGGCCACTGAGAAACCCCGGGGAGGTGCTGGAGCTGAAAGGGAGGAAGGCAAACTGGAAGAGGCCTTACTGCCCCGTCGATTTCTAGAGGTCAGCCCTGTCTGTGGACACGGTAGAAAATTCCTCAGAACTTCCTCTCTTCCCACCTCAGCTCCTTTCTCAGACATGAGGGGAGACCCCGCCCCCGACAGAAGACACCAATACGGTCCTGCCAGCAGTACCTGACAGGGGCCAGGGGCCTGTCTCAGCTCTCTCCCACGAGTTACTGAACGGCTAATACAAAGACTCCCCGAACCCCAAAGACTGCAGCCTGAGAACTTTATTTGCTGAATGTACTTTATTGTCGTAATTAACCAACAAAGCAAGACACACCGCAAGCCTGTATCTCCCATGTCTTCTCTCAGCCCCCCAGGACCTTGTGGAGGAGACGCCCAGCCCCACAGAACCCAACACGGAGGCCCCGGAGCCCCCCGAGGAGCCCCTCCTGGGGGAGCTGACGGTCACAGGATCCTCCCCAGACTCGCTGAGCCTCTCCTGGACCATCCCCCAGGGCCACTTCGACTCCTTCACTGTCCAGTACAAGGACGGGGACGGGCGGCCCCAGGTGGTGCGTGTCAGAGGGGACGAGAGTGAGGTCACCATCAGGGGCCTGGAGCCGGGGCGCAAGTACAAGATGCACCTGTACGGCCTGCACAGGGGACAGCGCGAGGGCCCCGTGTCCACCGTGGGCATGACCGGTGAGTGGGGGCGGGGACCTACTTCCTTTTCCTCCCACCGGTGGCCCCCAGCTTCCCCGTGGCCATGGCTCTTCCTTCTGTAGTGGTAGCATGAGGCCCCCCACTGCTTGGGGGAGACCCAGAAAGAACAGTTCACTGGGGACCGGGCTATAACCAGCTTTGTGACCTTGAGCAATTTTAAACTTTCTGTGCCTCTGTTTCCTCAGGCATAAAAGGAGGATAGTAACAGCCATCCCACAGAACTGTAGTGAGGATTAAATGAGTTAACAGACATGGAGCACTAAGAAAGGGTCTGGCACAGAGGGCACATGCTGTCAGCATTGCCATAGGATGATTATAATTGTCCTTAGTCTGGAGTCTGCTCTGCCCCCATTTGGCTGGTTCCTCAGCTGGGGCTCAGCTGATCAGAAGTGCATGAGACATCAGCCTCTTCATCAGTGTAGCTGGAAAGTTTCTTTACCGCTCATCCAGTGAGTGACTTTATAGCAAAAAGGGACATCCGTTCTATCCCCTCTCTTGGGCCCAGGTATGGGGCCATCTGGCACCACAAAGGACCCAGCCCGGGGATCTCCTCTCCAGAGCCTCAGCATCAGGGGCCAGAACCGAGACAGGCCTCTGGGACTTGGGACTCTCCTGCTGACCTGCCCAGCTTGGTCACAGCAAGGGGCGTCTCTTTTCCCTTTGCTCAAAGACACACCTTTTACTATAAGGGGAAAGATTAAAAACTTAAAAGCAGAGATATAGATTTTCAGAGCATGGTTCCTGTACTTCCACAAAGCCCAACCTCATGGCTGGCTTAGTTTCCAGAACCTTCTACTCCTAATTTCTTTTTGTTCCTCCATTAGTACTGAGAGTAGGGAGAGGAGAAAGCCACCCTGAGTTACTGTCCTGCGGGCCTGAAGTAGCAGGGTGGAGGCTCATGCCAAGCCCGCACATGCTGCCAAGGTTTCTCTTAGGGTGCCCCTCCATCTGCTCTCTGTCCCAGGCAGCCACACTGGGCTCTGTGAGGTCCTGTCCCTGGTCCCCAGGGAGGAATGGACTGTGTTGGGCACAGACTGAGGCAGTGCAGTAACGGAAAATGGAGTTGAGCATTTGACAGACTGAGTTCTGTTTGTGGCTTCTCTGGTTCTCAGCTTCAGGATGGAGCATGGTGTTCATTGTCAGAGCAGGCAGGTGATGGGCAGCTGGAGCCCGCTGAGCTGCCCCAGGGGCTGTGCCCAGCCCGCGGCACATGCTTTCCCATTGCCAAGGGAAGAGGTGGATACAGCCAGTGAGAAAGATTTCTAAAGTAGAGAAAGATAATGTCAAATGCAGCATGCGCAGTGCCATGTTTGGGGGTAGTGATAACTCTACGTTTTCCAGTTAAACCAAGCCCCAGCAATGAGGCTTGTTGGATGGTGAGGGACAGTTTCTCTTCCTCATGGGAAGAAGTGCAGAGAGGGTGGAAGTGAGCAGGAAGTGGGTGAGAAAAGAGCGAGCAAAGCTAGAAGGAGCATGGGACACTGCTCGTAGACATTTGATGACGTGGCGGCCTCTCCTAGCCCCCCTCAGCCGCCTTCATCCCTGCCCTCCCCTCAGACTCAGGTCTGTCTTTCTGAGGCCTCCCAAACAGGGTTTCATCTGTCTAGCCTGGTCTTATGCTCCCGCAGAAGCCAGAGAAAACAGCTCTTGGGAGCCACACCCACCCAGCCACCTCCGCCACTGTCTTACTTCTTGGGACCACCATCCAAGTTTGGTCCCTACTGAGGAGTGCCCCCAGACTTAGCTGAGTTGGGGGGTGGGGCCCACTGGGGCCCGAGCTGGGACTTTCCCAGCCCAGTCATGCAGACCACTCATTAATTGAACGACCGTTTGTGGGGGCACCCGCTGTGTGCTGGGCGCCGGGGACACAGCAGCGAGCAAGGCAAAGCCCCTCCCCAGGGAGCACACGTTCTAGCAGACCTCACAAATCTGTCTGTGGGACCGTCTCTAATAACAATGAGACCTGGAGAAAAGCAAAGTCCAGCAGGTGAGACAGTGAATGGGTGGGAAGGACGTGGGAAAGGGCCTCTCTGAGGGAAGACCTGAGGAGGGACAGGACAAGGCACATGTGCCTTTGGGAAGAATATCCAGGCAGAGGAAAGTGCCCCGACCCTCTGTGCACAAGCCAGGAATGTCTGGAGTGGGGGGAGCTATGTGGGAGATGATCCTGTGGGACCTCAGAGGCCCCTGTAAGAACCTGGCTTTTGCCCTGAGTGAGATGGAAGTCCTTGTGGGAGCAGGCTCTGACTAATGTGTTCACGGTGGATCGGAGCGGGTGGGGAGGACAGGGAGGATTTAGGAGACCCATGTAGTCCAGGGAGACGAGTGGTACCTGGAGATGGCGCCAGTGGAGTGGAGTTAGCGAGGGGGGGTCAGCTTCTGAAGGTCATGCCAACAGTCCTTACTCACGGGCTAGATGTAGGGTGTGAGGGGACTCGGGGACGACACCCAGGGTGAAGTGGTGGCTTTACTGAGGTGGGGAGGCCGTGACAGAGCAGGCGTGGGGGGAGTCCCTGAGCTCGGTTTTGAACTTCATGAGTTTGAGCCACAGACCAGGCACCCAAGGAAGATGCCAGGCAAGCACGAGTCTGCGGGTCCTGGAGGAGGGGACCATTGACCTACAGATGGACGTTCAGCCACTCTCCCAGGGTCTCAGTGACACCCATCCCCAACCCCAGCACAGCCCCCAGTCCTGGCGGGGACTTAGCGAGGGCTTGTGGTCAGACAGATGTTGCCAATCAGTGTAGTTTTACATCGGAACCACCTCGTGGGCACCACAAAAACAACAGACACAGTTACTAACAAGGGAAAGAGGGGCTTTTCCTAATGGCCTCCCACCATCTCTGTCTCGGCTCCACAACCAGAAGAGACTCCAGCCATAGAGCCGCCCCTAGAGCCACACCTGGGAGAGCTGACAGTGACAGATGTGACCCCCAACTCCATGGGCCTCGCATGGACGGTCCCTGAGGGTGAATTCGACTCCTTCGTGGTCCAGTACAAAGACAGGGGCGGGCAGCCCCAGGTGGTCCCTGTGGAGGGCAGCCTCAGGGAGGTCACCATCCCCAGCCTGGAGCCTGCGTGCAAATACAAGATGAACTTCTACGGGCTACATGATGGGCAGCGCGTGGGCCCCCTCTCTGTGATAGCTGTGACCGGTGAGTGAGCAGGGGTGAGGCAGTTCCCATCCCTGGTTACCCAGAATCCCCCCGTCCCACAAACCCCCTCAGGTCCTGCCTCGGTGGCCTCCATAAGTCCTTCCTGAGGTCACAGTCACGGCAGTCTGTTCCCTGAGCCCTTGACTTCTTCCCCAGGCTAGAATCTTCCCTGCCCTCCAGTTCCTCTCCATTCTGCCCTCTCCCTCAGGCAGGAATGTCTTGCTTCCATCTGACCTAAATCTGACTCTGTCTGTCTCCCCTGATTGTCCACAGCTGTTCCCCTCCTTTCTCTCAAAACCCTGCTGTGACTTGGCCACAGCCGCCACCTTCCCCTGGTGTTCTTTTTTAGTTGGGCTTCAGTGACACACATCCCTTGAATCTCTCAGAGATTCTTTAGTGCCTTGAGTGCTATAGCCTTCCTTTCTCCTGGAAGTGGCCCTTGCTCTTGGGTCCCTGGGGACAGGTTGCTGCCATTTTTCTGCCACAGTATCTGATGAAACCCACGGACCCCTCTCAGAGCAGGGCTTTAAAATCTATAACGTAAATGCATAGGGTTACAGAGGAAACCAATTTATTTGATATTCAATTATAAAAACATATTTTTTTAAGATTTTATTTATTTATTTGATGAAGAGAGACACAGTGAGAGAGGGAACACAAACAGGGGGAATGGGAGAGGGAGAAGCAGGCTTCCTGCGGAGCAGGGAGCTCGATGCGGGGCTCAATCCCAGGACCCTGGGGACCATGACCTGAGCCGAAGGCAGACGCTTAACGACTGAGCCACCCAGGCGTCCTATCAAAATATTTTTAATTCAAATTTATGATTTAGTAATACAGGAACTTGTTTATCAGTTCATTAAATAATGAGACTTAGGGGCATGTGTCATAACCTACACACATTCCGAAGTACGGATGAGTGTAAACGGTATTTTGGAGTCTGCACAGCCATTCTAAGGTGACACGAAAATGGTCCCAGGTATGCTGGCACCGCAGTGAGCACCCGAGGAAATCTACCTTTCAGTTAGAGGCAGGGAAAATACAGATGTGACTGTGTCTCATCTTATTTCAAGGTCCCCTTGAGGCCCTGGTTGCCCAGGAGCCCTTCAGGGTCAGGGGGTTCTCCTGCCCAAGATCTCAGCCATGTTCTATGTTTTCCTGGGTCCTAGCTCCCCTCCCCCCAGCCCCAGGCACAGAGTCCCCCGAGGAGCCACGGCTGGGGGAGCTGACAGTGGTGGACCTGAGCCCGGACTCCGTGACCCTCTCATGGACGGTTCCCGAGGGTGAATTCGACTCCTTCGTGGTCCAGTACAAGGACAGGGACGGGCAGCCCCGGGTGGTGCCTGTGGCCGCAGACCAGCGCGAGGTCACCGTGTCCGGCCTGGAGCCCAGCAGGAAGTACAGGTTCCTGCTCTACGGACTTCAGGATGAGAAGAGACGCAGCCCAGTCTCTGTGGAGGCAAAGACGGGTGAGAGTCCCCCAGGCCCCCAGCAGCCTGCCCACCCTCTTCACACTGCTTAGTCTCTTTCCTTCTGCTGGTCTTCCCTGTGTTCACCTCTTCTGTTTCGTTTGAAAAGCCACACTGCCTGCCCCAGTTCAAGGCAAATGAGAACCAGGAAAGCAGGGCCAGGTCCTGGGTCTGTGCCCCCCGCTGACTTTTCCTCTCTTCTCATAATTTCCACTGCCATTGAATGGGGGAAGCCCCTTCAGGGCCCTTCCTGGAAGGTGGGACATGGGAGACTGGGGGTGCTGGGGGAGGGCGAAGGGAGTCAGGAGCCCTTTCTGCCGGCCTGGGCCTTGCAGCCCTCAGCCTTGTGCAGCCCTTACCTCCTGAGAGTTTTGCCATCACCCACTTTCTTATCCTACTGGCTCAGGCCCATTGGGTGCCCTCTCTGCCTCCCCTAGAGGGCCCTTTTCCTCCTGTGCCCTCTTCCCGGAGCCTCGGAAACTGGGAAGCAGAGGAGCCCAGGGCTGGCTGCCCAGCCAGGCCCGTTCGGGCCCAGCCCAGCTGTGCCCCTTTCCTGGCTTTCAGTCCAGGCCCTCCCCTGCCCCTGGGGGCTCCCTGATGCCAGAAAACTCTAGCAATAACAATGCTGTCAGCGTCCTCTCTGGCCAAGAAGGCAGCAGGCCAGCTCCTTCTCAAGCCTCAGGATGGCTCTGGGCAGATACCGGATCCTTTCTCCAAGTGAGCTCCCCTCCTCCTCCCCCCCACCAAGTAAGCAGCCCCCACTCCTCCCCCGGGCCCTATGAGGGCCACCTCCATCATAACATCCCACTTTCTCCTCTGCTGCCTACACTCATCAGGGATCCTGTGCCCCCTCTGATGTCCCCAGGACCCTCAGATTTCCCTAAGGGCCAGAGAAATCACAAAGGGTAGGCTCCTTGGTAAAAGGAAATAAGCAAACCAAGCTGCTCCCTGATAGGAAAATAGTCTCTAATAGGTGGGAAGAGTCTTGATAGCAGTAGGAATAAGATAAGCAGGAAACTAGGGATTCTTTTTTCCCAGAGATGTCACATCGGCTAAGTGGAGGGAGGCATGGGCCATTTGGGATGGGAGGGTGATGGAAATATTTTGGGGAAGCACTGATCATTTGGGCAGTCCTGGGTTTTTCCAATTCTAGTAGGAAGCAGTCAAAGAGTCATTCTGGAAAAAAATAAACACAAGATTCTTTCCTCTCTGTCAGCTGCCCAAGGTGACGCCAGCCTCGGGGCCCCACCCCGCCTTGGGGAGATGTGGGTGACAGATCCCACCCTGGACTCTCTGCGCCTCTCCTGGACAGTCTCTGAGGGCCACTTTGACTCCTTTGTGGTCCAGTTCAAGGACAAGGATGGGCCCCAGGTGGTGCCCGTGGAGGGCCACAAGCGCTCGGTCACCATCACCCCTCTGGACACTGGCCGCAAGTACAGATTCCTCCTTTATGGGCTCCTGGGCAAGAAGCGCCATGGCCCCCTCACTGCTGAAGGCACCACAGGTGAGAGCGTCCGTGCAGGGCCAGGCTCTGGTCCTGGAGCCCCCCGGGCACGGCAGCAGCACCCAGCCGGGCCGGGGAAGCAGGTGGCCACCTGTGCCGGCTGCCATCACGGTAGTTACTCCCTCACGCAGTCCCATAGCACTGGCCCTGTAGGACTCAGCCGTGGCAAAGCCCTGTCCCCAGACCTTTCAGTCCTGCCCTTTGAGGTCACCCAGACTACCAGAAACAGCTCCGCTGCCCCCTCTCTGTCTCCCTCTCAGAGCCCTGGAGTGGTGTGGACGATGCTAGAACAAAGCACCCCCCAAAGCCCCATCTTGGGGGGGAGCTACAGGTGACCAGCGTGACACCAGACTCTGTGAGCCTCGCGTGGACGGTCCCTGAGGGCCAGTTTGACTCCTTCGTGGTCCAGTACAAAGACAGGGCCGGGCAGCCCCAGGTGGTCCCGGTGGAGGGCGGCCTCAGGAAGGTCAGCGTCTTGGGCCTGGACCCAGCCCACAGGTACAAGCTGCTGCTGTACGGGCTGCACCAGGGCAAGCGCGTGGGCCCGGTCTCCGCCGTCGCCTTGACTGGTGAGTGAGGCTGTGGCCAGAACATGCCGCCCTCCTGCCGGCTGCGGCCCTGCTGCTCTGACCGAGCCAGGGGGGTTCTGAGCTTCCTACTTCCCTCCTTTAGGGGGGGGATAGCCTCATCGAGGCATAATTCACGGACAATTTTATGTGAACAATGAGTTTTGGTAAACATGTAAGTCATGAGACCATTACCACAAATGAGACATAAAACATTTCCACTGACCCCACAACCCATTTCCCCGTGCCCCTTTGCAGTCAGTTCCCCCAATCCCAGCTTCTGTCGGCCACTAATTCCTTTCCTTACAGTTTTGCCTTTGTAAGCCTCTCACTTAACAGAATCCTACAATACGGACTCAGGGCTTGGTTTCTAACACTTACCATAATGCTTGGTTTGTAACCAATGCTTGGCTTCTAACACTTACTATAATGCCCCTGTTCCATAGTTGCTCCTTTTTATTACTGACCTCAAGCCTTCACCTCTTCCCCTCCTTCCCTCTCCTTGGAGAGCCTTGTGGAGACAGACCAATCACCCATCTCTACCTGTCTCTCTGAACCAGCCCCCAGGGTACATATCAAAGCCGAGGCCCCAAGTCCTCCAGGGCCTGAGCCCCGCCTAGGGGAGATGACTGTAGAGGAAGCCACACCAGACACCTTGCATCTCTCCTGGACCAAGACTGAGGGCGATTTTGACTCCTTCGAGGTCCACTACACAGACCGAGATGGGCAACCCCAAGTAGTCAGGATAGATGGTGACCGGAATGACATCATCCTCTCTGGCCTGGAATCTGAGCACAGATACCTAGTGAACCTGTACGGTTTCCATGGCCAGCAGCGAGTGGGTCCTGTCCACATCGAGGCGCTGACAGGTGAGCGAGGAGAACTGCACCATATCTGCTTCCTCCAGGTGGCTGTGAGAGCCAGAAGAGAGCAAATCCTTATGGTCACCCTGCCCCCCCGCCTCAGTTCTTACTCTCTCTCACATCTCTGTTCAGTCCCAAGGGAAGAGGAGGATGGACCTTCAGAGCCTCCCACCAAGCCCCGCCTGGGGGAGCTGACCGTGACCGACGCCACTCCCGACTCCCTGCACCTCTCCTGGACTGTCCCCGAGGGCCAGTTTGACCACTTCCTGGTCCAGTACAAGAACGGGGACGGGCAGCCCAAGGCAGTGCGCGTACCGGGCTATGAGGATGCGGTCACCGTCTCAGGCCTGCAGCCAGACCACAAGTACAAGATGAACCTGTACGGCTTCCACGGTGGCCAGCGCGTGGGCCCTGTCTCTGCCATTGGGGTGACAGGTGAGTGGATGCTGGAAGCCCCAGGGTGGGGCCGGTGGGAGGGTCTCCCTCTCCCAGGTGATGGGTGAGAGGGGTGCAGGAGGCCCCTCTGCTCGAGGCTGAGCCATGGTGCCCTTTGTGCCTCCCCACCCCCCTCCCAGGGCTCCCTGAGGCCTGAGGGGTCCTCCCCTGCAGAGTAGGGCCTCCATGAGCTGTGCTGGAGACTGTCTAGGGTTCCCCACAGCTGACCCTCAAGGCTCCCAGGCATGTTTGTGAGATGCAGCTGAGCAAGCCCACCCAGCCCCAAGGATGGGCTTCCCTGAGCTGAATTTGGGGGCCCCCAGACATGATCACAGCTTCTCCATCCTTCTCCCAAGACCTGAGGACATCTCCTGGGGATCCTGCCTCACCTCCTCTGTGTCTGTCCTTCTCAGCTGCAGAGGAAGAGACCCCAACCCCCACCGAGGTGGAGGAGACGCCCAGCCCCACAGAACCCAGCACGGAGGCCCCGGAGCCCCCCGAGGAGCCCCTCCTGGGGGAGCTGACGGTCACAGGATCCTCCCCAGACTCGCTGAGCCTCTCCTGGACCGTCCCCCAGGGCCACTTCGACTCCTTCACTGTCCAGTACAAGGACGGGGACGGGCGGCCCCAGGTGGTGCGTGTCGGGGGTGACGAGAGTGAGGTCACCATCGGGGGCCTGGAGCCGGGGCGCAAGTACAAGATGCACCTGTACGGCCTGCACAGGGGACAGCGCGAGGGCCCCGTGTCCACCGTGGGCATGACCGGTGAGTGGGGGCAGGAATCAGGGGTCTTCAGGGAGAACTGCCTTTTCTCTTGGGTACCCTGGATGACTGTTCTGTTCTTTTGCTCGTCCTAAGGATCCAAGCCTTGGCTCCCCATTTCATGCTTTTCCTCCAGGGCCCTGGGGTGTGGCCTGTGCCTAGGATTTAACATTTGCTAACCTGGAGCCTCATCATACACACTAGCATGACCTCCTTCTGATGATCAGCCGCTGGGCCCCTCTAAGAGTAAAGTGTGTCAGGCTCAGGCCAAGCATGCACACGCGCGCACGCGTGCCCACACACACACACAAGAAGGAAAGAAACAGGACAACATCCAACCACGTTGGGATGATTCAATAATTAGGCAACATCTATAAGATGAACTATTATGCCATCACCAAAATGTTTTAACATAAGACAATTATTTGATAATATTACATTGAAAAAGGAGACCCCAAATTTGGTAAGGATGCCAATAACAACCACTGGAAAATAACATGCATTGCCAGAAAACTGGAAGGAAACACATCTCACAGATGTGCATGGTTTGTAGGACAGGATAGAATGTTCCAGCCCTTTTTTTTGTTTTATTCTAGTCTATTGTTCTAAATTTTCTTTTATAATCAGGAAATATTTATTTTAAATATAATACCTTCTCCTCTCTTGTACTCCTTCCATCTTTTCCCCCATCACTCTTACAACTTATTTTATTTCTAATTCTGAAAAGTTATAATTTCTAGTCCCTAAGAAATTAGGGGGGCAAAAGCACAAGGTGAATTAAATTCTAAAAGGGCAGTCAGGATGGCTTTTCTAGGTCAGTGTCAGCCCAATTCTTTTTTTTTTTTTTTTAATTAATTTCAGGGGTAGAATGTAGTGATTCATCAGTTGCATATAACACCCAGCGCTCATTACATCACGTGCCCTCCTTAATGCCCATCACCCAGTTACCGCAGCCCCCAACCCCCTCCCCTCCAGCAACCTCAGTTTGTTTCCCAGAGTTCAGCGTCTCTTATGGTTTGTCTCCCTCTCTGTTTTTATCTTATTTTATTTTTCTTTCCCTTCCCCTATGTTCATCTGTTTTGTTTCTTTTATTCCACATATCAGTGAGATCATATGATAATTGTCTTTCTCTGACTGACTCATTTCACTTAACATAATACCCTCCAGTTCCATCCATGTTGATGCAAATGGCAAGATTTCATTCTTTTTGATGGTTGAGTAGTATTCCATTGTATATATATCCCATTCTTCTTTATCCATTTATCTGTCGATGGACATCTGGGTTTTTTTTCCATAGTTGGGTATTGTGGACATTGGTGCTATAAACATAAGGGTGTAGGTACCCCTTGAAATCACTATGTTTGTATCTTTTGGGAAAATGCGTAGTAGTTGAATTGCTGGGTCATAGGGTAGATCTATTTCTACCTTTTTGAGCAACCTCTGTACTGTTTTCCAGAGTGGCTGCACCAGCTTGCATTCCCACCAGCAGTGTAGGAGGGTTCCTCTTTCTCTGCATCCTGAACAACATCTGTTGTTTCCTGACTTGTTAATTTTAGCCATTCTGACTGGTGTGAGGTGGTATCTCATTGAGGTTTTGATTTGGATTTCCCTGATGCCGAGCGATGTTGAGCACTTTTTCATGTGTCTGTTGGCCATTTGGATGTCTTCTTTGGAAAAATGTCTGTTCATGTCTTCTGCCCATTTCTTGATTGGATCATTTGTTCTTTGGGTTTTGAGTTTGATAAGGTCTTTATAGATTTTGGGTACTAGCCCTTTATCTGATAAGACATTTGCAAATATCTTCTCCCATTCTGTGGGATGCCTCTTAGGTTTGTGACTGTTTCCTTTGCTGTGCAGAAGCTTTTTATCTGGATGGAGTCCCAGTAGTTCATTTTTCCCTTTGGTTCCCTTGCCTTTGGAGACTTGTCTAGCAACACGTTGCTGCGGCTGAGGTCAAAGAGGTTGCTGCCTGTGTTCTCTTCTAGGATTTTGATGGACTCCTGTCTCACATTTAGGTCTTTCATCCATTTTGAGTCTATTTTTGTGTGTGGTGTAAGAGAATGGTCTAGTTTCGTTCTTCTGCATGGGGCTGTCCAATTTTCCCAACACCATTTGTTGAAGAGACTGTCTTTGTTGAACATTAGTTGACCATAGAGTTGAGGGCCCATTTCCGGGTTCTCTATTCAGTGTCAGCCCGATTCTGATGTCCCGTGAGAACAGAGTTCCTCTATGTGCCGTGCGGGAGAGCCTGGCACCCCGAAGAGAGCCTCTCTGTAGGCCTGGGGCCCGCAACCTCTACAACACCAAGTGAGAGGCTCTGTGAGGTTCCGTCTCCTCTCCTGAAAATGCTCCAGACAGAGGAACGATTTCACACAGCCCCCCTGACTTCTGGGGGATGGGCCTCTTTTCTCTATATACATTCGCAGGAGTATGGCAGGAGGGGGAGGATGGGAGAATGATCAGAAAATAGACATTAGAGGGGCACCTGGGTGGCTCAATCGGTTAAGCGTCTGCCTTCAGCTCAGGTCATGATCCCAGGGTCCTGGGATCATGCCCCACATCTGGCTCCTGCCTCGGACGGGAGCCTGCTTCTCCCTCTTCCTCTGCCTCTGCCCCTGCTCATGCTCTCTCTCTCTCTCTCTCTCTCTGTCTCAAATGAATAAATAAATAAAAAATCTTTAAAAAAGAGAAAATAGACATTAGAACAGCTCCCACCCTGAGGGAAAGCCGTAATGCTCATCCACTGTTCAATGTTGTTACTGTCTGTCACAGTGGATCACAAGCACACACGAAGTAAGGAGGGCAGCTGAAGGAACCCACAGCCTTCTCCACAACCCCCATCAGATTATTAATTTTTAGAGTCCAGGGTTTCTTTCTCAGTACACGTTATTCTGGGGAAACGAGTATCAACATTGTGGAATATTTGAAAAATAGGGGGAAAAACCGATCAGAACACCTTTGGACACAGTAAGTGCCATTAATAATAATACCCATAGCACAGGCTCTCCCTAGCTTTCCATCCAGTGCATGTTCTCAAGCTGCAGAGCGTTCAGACAATTCTTGGCTCTTCCTTTGTTTTTGTACATAAGTTACATTGTGAGCATTTATTTTGAGGCCACAGACCCGGCATTAATCATCATTTAATGGTGATCTGACACTGCATGGTGAAAGTGCCATCGCAAAGTGAATCATCTTCTCGGGACCATTTGGGTCCCTGACACATTTTGCTGTCACAAATAATCCCACAACAGACTCCCATGGCGCAACTTTTTCATAATTTTCTTAGGACGGCTGCCCAGTGGGATTATTGGGTCAAATAATGGGATTATTGTGGCTCCTATACACACGTCTGAATTACCTTCTGGTGCCAGCTAACCAGTGTGTGAAGGGGATCGGGGCCTATCTCAGCGTGAGCTCGGTAGTTCCCAGCCGGCTAGCCCCCAGGTGCTCAGACTCGGCTCCACAGCTGGAGGAATGGACTGCTGCACCTCGTTGTCCTCCTGACATGAGCAGCAGAGTTCACTACTAAGCCTCCATCCCCATGTCTTCTCTCAGCCCCCCAGGACCTTGTGGAGGAGACGCCCAGCCCCACAGAACCCAGCACAGAGGCCCCGGAGCCCCCCGAGGAGCCCGTCCTGGGGGAGCTGGCGGTCACAGGATCCTCCCCAGACTCGCTGAGCCTCTCCTGGACCGTCCCCCAGGGCCACTTCGACTCCTTCACTGTCCAGTACAAGGACGGGGACGGGCGGCCCCAGGTGGTGCGTGTCAGAGGTGACGAGAGTGAGGTCACCATCGGGGGCCTGGAGCCGGGGCGCAAGTACAAGATGCACCTGTACGGCCTGCACAGGGGACAGCGCGACGGCCCCGTGTCCACCGTGGGCGTGACCGGTGAGTGGGGGTGAGACGGGGCCCCCTGGGGAAGCCGGCCCTACAGGACTCTCCCTTTATTCCCACGTGCATGAAAACACATATTCTAGGCAGCTCGTCTCTTTTGCACATCACATGGCCTGAGGATCTTGGTAAAGGGCAGAATCAGATGCCACAGGCGTGGGCTGGGGCCAGAGGCTCTACATCCCTGATGCGATGCTGAAGCTGCTGGTCCGAGGACCACACTTTAGCAAAGCTCCTCACAACAAAGGATTTGGACGCTTTCTTAGAATTTGTTGGAGAGAGTTGTACTGGCATCTCTGATTCCTCCCAGAGGCTTTGCCTCCCCGTAGTTCACTGGAGGCTGGGGGAGAAGACAGAGGGGGCTCAGGATGTAGCGTCCTGACCGAAACACCTCCAGGCCTCGTGGTTTGGGTGCTGTCAGGCTTCTGATTCCCATGGGCCCACAAGATTGGGTGCCCTGAGCCAAGCACTGTGGGAGTTCACTGGGGTGAGCCTGATCATGGCAGAGAGAGAAGTTGTTATTGTAATGGGGCTCCCGGGTGTGGGGAGATAGGCCGTGAACCAGCAATCAGGCAAAGGGGCATATGCGTGTGACAGGAAGCCCTGGGGCCAGGCCAGGACTGGGCAGCATGCCTAAGCCAGCCTGCCCAGGGGTGTCCACGGGACAGCTGACACCTGAGGTTGGGCAGGCGTTCACTTGGTGACAGAGTCAGATCCACGTCACAGCTGGTGCCAGGGCCTGGAAACTAGGCATGTCACGGCCCATGAGAGGGACCGAGAGGATTCTGTGTGAGAGCCTCTGAGTGGGGGAGGGAGTCGTGAGATGGGGGTAGAGCAGCAGAGGCAGCTCAGAAGCCAGGGGCTCGTCCCGGGGGTAGAGAGGGCTGTTGCCCGGTGAAGCTAAGGCCAACGCCGTCAGATGTGCAGTGGAAGGCTCGGCCTGGCCCCTGTGAGGAACGGACGGGGCAGGGAGGCAGGGAGCCCAGGAGGGACACGGTGACCCAGCTGAGAGGCGACGGGGCTGGGGTGGGACCCAAGCCAGCCTGGTGGGGCTGCAGGTGTGGGGAACCCAGGAGGAACTTAGTTGGACACTCTGAGTCTGATGGCCGCTGGGGATAGGAGGAGATCCAGGAAGACTCCAGGTTTCTGGTTGGGGAAGGGAGTTCTGAGCTGTTTGGGAGCAACGGCATGAGCCAAGGGGAGTGAGATGCCAAGGAGACCCCAGTGGAGTGAGGCCCAGGGCACAATGTGCAGGGGAAGTGGGTGCTGGAGAGAGCGGGAGAGGGGGCGGGCTGTGGGTAGGGGCAAGATGAGGGTAAGGGGCCGAGCAGGCTGGCATTAATGGACTGGGAAGGTGACACTCTGCTCCTTATTATCTTATTCTTGTAAGACACCCACTTCTATGCTGACCTGCATGTCCTCATCTGTCCCTGTATGTCTCTGTCCACTTCCAGAATATGAAGCTATGACCACCGAAGCCCCATCCACCATGGCCCCTGAGCCTCCCACCAAACCCCGCCTGGGGGAGCTGACCGTGACCGACACCACTCCCGACTCCCTGCACCTCTCCTGGACTGTCCCCGAGGGTCAGTTTGACCACTTCCTGGTCCAGTACAAGAACGGGGACGGGCAGCCCAAGGCAGTGCGCGTACCGGGCTATGAGGATGCGGTCACCGTCTCAGGCCTGCAGCCAGACCACAAGTACAAGATGAACCTGTACGGCTTCCACGGTGGCCAGCGCGTGGGCCCTGTCTCTGCCATTGGGGTGACAGGTGAGTGGATGCTGGAAGCCCCAGGGTGGGGCCGGTGGGAGGGTCTCCCTCTCCCAGGTGATGGGTGAGAGGGGTGCAGGAGGCCCCTCTGCTCGAGGCTGAGCCATGGTGCCCTCCCGGGGCTCCCTGAGGCCTGAGGGGTCCTCCCCTGCAGAGTAGGGCCTCCATGAGCTGTGCTGGGGACTGTCCAGGGTTCCCCACAGCTGACCCTCAAGGCTCCCAGGCATGTTTGTGAGATGCAGCTGAGCAAGCCCACCCAGCCCCAAGGATGGGCTTCCCTGAGCTGAATTTGGGGGCCCCCAGACATGATCACAGCTTCTCCATCCTTCTCCCAAGACCTGAGGACATCTCCTGGGGATCCTGCCTCACCTCCTCTGTGTCTGTCCTTCTCAGCTGCAGAGGAAGAGACCCCAACCCCCACCGAGGTGGAGGAGACGCCCAGCCCCACAGAACCCAGCACGGAGGCCCCGGAGCCCCCGGAGGAGCCCGTCCTGGGGGAGCTGACGGTCACAGGATCCTCCCCAGACTCGCTGAGCCTCTCCTGGACCGTCCCCCAGGGCCACTTCGACTCCTTCACTGTCCAGTACAAGGACGGGGACGGGCGGCCCCAGGTGGTGCATGTCAGAGGTGACGAGAGTGAGGTCACCATCGGGGGCCTGGAGCCGGGGCGCAAGTACAAGATGCACCTGTACGGCCTGCACAGGGGACAGCGCGACGGCCCCGTGTCCACCGTGGGCATGACCGGTGAGTGGGGGCGGGGCCTTCAGGGCTGGGTTGGGTAAGGTCTCAATGTTAGAGCCTTCAGGGTGTCCTCCCCTGGAGAGCCAGGATCCTAAAGCCTCACCTAACCCACACTTCATCCAGTAACATGTCCGGACAGGCGTGAGGTGGGCTCAGGAAGCCCGAGTGCCAGTCCTATGTCAGAGTGGCCCTCGGTTGGAAGGCTCTGAAGTAGTGATACACTGACCCATTTGTGGCTTTCCGCTTTTCCGGGAAACCTGGAAAGATCTTGCTTTTGTGGTTGGGGCAAATGCCACGAACTATTCAATCATCCAACAAATATTTATTATATGAGATTCAACCTTACACATGAAAAGAAAGAATAGCATCATGAACTCCCATATGTCCATTGCCCTGCTGCAGCCTAATATTCACTGCTGGCCAGTCTGGCTGGTCCACACCCCACTCGCTACCTGCCCTCCTCACACTGCCATGTGTGCTTAGAACATCTTATTGAGATATAATTTGCATACCATAAAATTCACCTGCTTTAAGTTTGCAACTTAATGATTTTTAGTCGGAGTTGTGCATCCATCAGCACTATCTAATTTTAGAATTTTCTCTGTGGAACTCTAACACTATCTCACTTTAGAACTCTACCTCTGTAGATTTGTCTTTTTTAGATGTATCATATAGATGGTACGGTATCATACAATAACATGCTCTTCTGTGTCCGGGTTCTTTCATCAAGGTCCTTTTCGGGGTTCATCCATGTTGTAACGTGTAGCAGAACTCATCCCTGTACAGCCAAATAGTATTCCGTTGTATGGATATACTGTTGCAGAGTTGGTAAACTCATCCCAGATGCTCTAGACTTCATCCCATACTTCATGGCTTCATATTTAAGCGTATCATTCTTTTTAAAAAGACTATTTAAGGGATGCTTGGGTGGCTCAGTCGGTTAAGCTTCCGACCCTGGATTTTGGCTCAGGTCATGATCTCAGGGTCATGAGATCAAGCCCCTCACCAGGCTCTGCGTTAGGTGTGGAGCCTGCCTAAGATATCTTCTCTGCCCCTCCCCAACTCATGCACACACTCTCTCTCTCCCTAAAAAAAAAAAAAAAAAAAAAAAAAAAGTATTTAAAAATAGCCACAACACCGTTATTATACCTTTAAAAATGAACAGTCATTCATTAATATCATTAAGTATGTAGGGAATGTTAGTTTCCTGGTTGTCTCATAAATGTTGTTTTCTAATTTGTTGCTGGGATCAGGTCCAAAAAAAGGAGAAAACATTGCAATTGGGAGAATTGGAATTTTAGATAGGGTGGTCATGATTGGCCCTGAAGAGGTGACATTTGAACAAAGACTTAAAGGAAGTGTAGACATAAGCCATGCAGACATCCAGGGTCAGAACATTCACACAAAGGGAATGGTCAATACAAAGGCCCTGAGGTAGGAGGCTGCCTGGTAAGTTTGACAGACCATGAAGAGACCACAAAAAGACTGATGTTAAGCAGAAATGGATCTTAAGTTAGGCCTACACAGCTGGCCCACCTTCTGGTCTGAATCCAGTAGAGCCAGGGCCTCAACTAGTTCTTCCAGCAATAGGAAAGGTTCTGTTTGCATCTATTCCCAGACCCCGAAAGGGAGCCCCCTACCAACATCCTTCCGAAGCCACACTTGGGAGAGCTGACCGTGATGGATGCCACCCCTGACTCCCTGCACCTCTCCTGGACTGTCCCTGAGGGCCAGTTTGACCACTTCCTGGTCCAGTACAAGAATGGGGACGGGCAGCCCAAGGCGGTGAGAGTGCCAGGGAATGAGAACCAGGTCACTGTCTCAGGCCTGGAGCCCAGCCACAAGTACAAGATGAACCTGTACGGCTTCCATGGTGGCCAGCGCGTGGGCCCGGTCTCTGCTGTCGGTTTAACTGGTGAGTATACAGTCGGACACTGGGCCCTGCCCTAGCTGGACTCAGTTTCTCTTTTATGTCGGTATTCAGGTGTTTTTGTCCCACTGTCCCTGAGACTAGAGTCTCCCAAGCTCCTGAGAATGATTCTGCTTGTGTCTTTACTCCAAGCCTTTGGTGTTGCCCCAGCCATCTTTCCCTTTATACACAGGCTTTATTTATTTATTTTTTTAAATTAATCTCTACATCCAACATGGGGCTTGAACTCACAACCCCGAGATCAAGAGCCACGTGTTCTACTGACTGAGTCAGTCAGGCCCCCCCCACACACAGACTTTTTGGTCCTTGAAGAGGCACAGCACCAGGGAAATAACACATTCAAACAGACCTAGGGTTGACCCTAGCCTCAGCCCATTCGAGCTGTGTTACCCCAAGAGAGTCACTCAACCTCTCTGTGCCTCCCTTTCTTCATCTGTAAAGAAGGAAGAGGAAGAAAATTAGTTTCTGAAAACTCTTAGGATGAATTCTCATAATTATCATTGATTTCAGTGGGTAAAATGGTATGTGTTTTCCAACCCAGACTGATCCCCCTTTATGCTAAATGAACCCTGAATCCTGCTACCATGGCTGCTTTTACTTTGATGGTTAGTATCAGTCATATGTGCAACTTCACAAGGCACCTTCCCTTCATTCATTATTTGCTAACAGGGCCAATTGTTGCTTTTGTTAAGTTCTTTTGGAACTATTACCCTTTGATGCTTAAGACCTGGTTCCCAAACAACAGATAGGAAACAAGATGATTTTGTAATTCAGCGATTAAGGAAGAATGAAACCCTATGTGGAACAGAAAAGCCAAAAGAAACCTGGGGGTGTGATGAGTCATCTGTGCCATAAATTATGGAGAGAGCAAATGCAAGGTCCAAAACCACCCAGGTACAAAGACGACCTCGTGTCTCATCTCTTTGGCCTCCACTGTGAAATCTAAATTTGTCTCTAAAAATGCTCAGAAGACTTCTCAACCAGAGAAGGTATTAAAGGAAAATACTCATGAAGTAGAATTTCCAAACCTGAGTAGATATACCTCCTGATGTGACCTGTCTGGTATGTTTGGTGGTGTTAGGAAGCCTTAGTTCTGTCCCTCTGTGCAGATTTGCTCTGCGGCTCCCAAGAGCTCAGCGCCCGCACACATGGAACACCATGGCAGTCCCGACGACCCGTCATGATGTTACCACGAGAGTATGCTCTGTCCCTTGGTCACTAACATTCAAACCAAGGAGATGATGTCTTAATCCTGGGGGGCTAGCATCCAGGCTGCAGGGACTTGGTGTGTCTGGGAGAAATCTAAGTATCCTTTACTGGAAGGGGGCCCACGAGGCACGTCCACACATTCTCTTTGTCTCCTGATCCAGCCCCAGGAAAGGACCATGAAATACCAGCCCCCACAGACCCACCCATCACAACTCCCCAGCCTCCCACCAAGCCCCGCCTGGGGGAGCTGACCATGACCGATGCCACTCCCAACTCCCTGCACCTCTCCTGGACTGTCCCCGAGGGCCAGTTTGACCACTTCCTGGTCCAGTACAAGAACGGGGACGGGCAGCCCAAGGCAGTGCGCGTACCGGGCTATGAGGATGCGGTCACCGTCTCAGGCCTGCAGCCAGACCACAAGTACAAGATGAACCTGTACGGCTTCCACGGTGGCCAGCGCGTGGGCCCTGTCTCTGCCATTGGGGTGACAGGTGAGTGGATGCTGGAAGCCCCAGGGTGGGGCCGGTGGGAGGGTCTCCCTCTCCCAGGTGATGGGTGAGAGGGGTGCAGGAGGCCCCTCTGCTCGAGGCTGAGCCATGGTGCCCTTTGTGCCTCCCCACCCCCCTCCCAGGGCTCCCTGAGGCCTGAGGGGTCCTCCCCTGCAGAGTAGGGCCTCCATGAGCTGTGCTGGAGACTGTCTAGGGTTCCCCACAGCTGACCCTCAAGGCTCCCAGGCATGTTTGTGAGATGCAGCTGAGCAAGCCCACCCAGCCCCAAGGATGGGCTTCCCTGAGCTGAATTTGGGGGCCCCCAGACATGATCACAGCTTCTCCATCCTTCTCCCAAGACCTGAGGACATCTCCTGGGGATCCTGCCTCACCTCCTCTGTGTCTGTCCTTCTCAGCTGCAGAGGAAGAGACCCCAACCCCCACCGAGGTGGAGGAGACGCCCAGCCCCACAGAACCCAGCACGGAGGCCCCGGAGCCCCCCGAGGAGCCCCTCCTGGGGGAGCTGACGGTCACAGGATCCTCCCCAGACTCGCTGAGTCTCTCCTGGACCGTCCCCCAGGGCCACTTCGACTCCTTCACTGTCCAGTACAAGGACGGGGACGGGCGGCCCCAGGTGGTGCGTGTCGGGGGTGACGAGAGTGAGGTCACCATCGGGGGCCTGGAGCCGGGGCACAAGTACAAGATGCACCTGTACGGCCTGCACAGGGGACAGCGCGAGGGCCCCGTGTCCACCGTGGGCATGACCGGTGAGTGGGGGCAGGAATCAGGGGTCTTCAGGGAGAACTGCCTTTTCTCTTGGGTACCCTGGATGACTGTTCTGTTCTTTTGCTCGTCCTAAGGATCCAAGCCTTGGCTCCCCATTTCATGCTTTTCCTCCAGGGCCCTGGGGTGTGGCCTGTGCCTAGGATTTAACATTTGCTAACCTGGAGCCTCATCATACACACTAGCATGACCTCCTTCTGATGATCAGCCGCTGGGCCCCTCTAAGAGTAAAGTGTGTCAGGCTCAGGCCAAGCATGCACACGCGCGCACGCGTGCCCACACACACACACAAGAAGGAAAGAAACAGGACAACATCCAACCACGTTGGGATGATTCAATAATTAGGCAACATCTATAAGATGAACTATTATGCCATCACCAAAATGTTTTAACATAAGACAATTATTTGATAATATTACATTGAAAAAGGAGACCCCAAATTTGGTAAGGATGCCAATAACAACCACTGGAAAATAACATGCATTGCCAGAAAACTGGAAGGAAACACATCTCACAGATGTGCATGGTTTGTAGGACAGGATAGAATGTTCCAGCCCTTTTTTTTGTTTTATTCTAGTCTATTGTTCTAAATTTTCTTTTATAATCAGGAAATATTTATTTTAAATATAATACCTTCTCCTCTCTTGTACTCCTTCCATCTTTTCCCCCATCACTCTTACAACTTATTTTATTTCTAATTCTGAAAAGTTATAATTTCTAGTCCCTAAGAAATTAGGGGGGCAAAAGCACAAGGTGAATTAAATTCTAAAAGGGCAGTCAGGATGGCTTTTCTAGGTCAGTGTCAGCCCAATTCTTTTTTTTTTTTTTAATTAATTTCAGGGGTAGAATGTAGTGATTCATCAGTTGCATATAACACCCAGCGCTCATTACATCACGTGCCCTCCTTAATGCCCATCACCCAGTTACCGCAGCCCCCAACCCCCTCCCCTCCAGCAACCTCAGTTTGTTTCCCAGAGTTCAGCGTCTCTTATGGTTTGTCTCCCTCTCTGTTTTTATCTTATTTTATTTTTCTTTCCCTTCCCCTATGTTCATCTGTTTTGTTTCTTTTATTCCACATATCAGTGAGATCATATGATAATTGTCTTTCTCTGACTGACTCATTTCACTTAACATAATACCCTCCAGTTCCATCCATGTTGATGCAAATGGCAAGATTTCATTCTTTTTGATGGTTGAGTAGTATTCCATTGTATATATATCCCATTCTTCTTTATCCATTTATCTGTCGATGGACATCTGGGTTTTTTTTCCATAGTTGGGTATTGTGGACATTGGTGCTATAAACATAAGGGTGTAGGTACCCCTTGAAATCACTATGTTTGTATCTTTTGGGAAAATGCGTAGTAGTTGAATTGCTGGGTCATAGGGTAGATCTATTTCTACCTTTTTGAGCAACCTCTGTACTGTTTTCCAGAGTGGCTGCACCAGCTTGCATTCCCACCAGCAGTGTAGGAGGGTTCCTCTTTCTCTGCATCCTGAACAACATCTGTTGTTTCCTGACTTGTTAATTTTAGCCATTCTGACTGGTGTGAGGTGGTATCTCATTGAGGTTTTGATTTGGATTTCCCTGATGCCGAGCGATGTTGAGCACTTTTTCATGTGTCTGTTGGCCATTTGGATGTCTTCTTTGGAAAAATGTCTGTTCATGTCTTCTGCCCATTTCTTGATTGGATCATTTGTTCTTTGGGTTTTGAGTTTGATAAGGTCTTTATAGATTTTGGGTACTAGCCCTTTATCTGATAAGACATTTGCAAATATCTTCTCCCATTCTGTGGGATGCCTCTTAGGTTTGTGACTGTTTCCTTTGCTGTGCAGAAGCTTTTTATCTGGATGGAGTCCCAGTAGTTCATTTTTCCCTTTGGTTCCCTTGCCTTTGGAGACTTGTCTAGCAACACGTTGCTGCGGCTGAGGTCAAAGAGGTTGCTGCCTGTGTTCTCTTCTAGGATTTTGATGGACTCCTGTCTCACATTTAGGTCTTTCATCCATTTTGAGTCTATTTTTGTGTGTGGTGTAAGAGAATGGTCTAGTTTCGTTCTTCTGCATGGGGCTGTCCAATTTTCCCAACACCATTTGTTGAAGAGACTGTCTTTGTTGAACATTAGTTGACCATAGAGTTGAGGGCCCATTTCCGGGTTCTCTATTCAGTGTCAGCCCGATTCTGATGTCCCGTGAGAACAGAGTTCCTCTATGTGCCGTGCGGGAGAGCCTGGCACCCCGAAGAGAGCCTCTCTGTAGGCCTGGGGCCCGCAACCTCTACAACACCAAGTGAGAGGCTCTGTGAGGTTCCGTCTCCTCTCCTGAAAATGCTCCAGACAGAGGAACGATTTCACACAGCCCCCCTGACTTCTGGGGGATGGGCCTCTTTTCTCTATATACATTCGCAGGAGTATGGCAGGAGGGGGAGGATGGGAGAATGATCAGAAAATAGACATTAGAGGGGCACCTGGGTGGCTCAATCGGTTAAGCGTCTGCCTTCAGCTCAGGTCATGATCCCAGGGTCCTGGGATCATGCCCCACATCTGGCTCCTGCCTCGGACGGGAGCCTGCTTCTCCCTCTCCCTCTGCCTCTGCCCCTGCTCATGCTCTCTCTCTCTCTCTCTCTCTCTGTCTCAAATGAATAAATAAATAAAAAATCTTTAAAAAAGAGAAAATAGACATTAGAACAGCTCCCACCCTGAGGGAAAGCCGTAATGCTCATCCACTGTTCAATGTTGTTACTGTCTGTCACAGTGGATCACAAGCACACACGAAGTAAGGAGGGCAGCTGAAGGAACCCACAGCCTTCTCCACAACCCCCATCAGATTATTAATTTTTAGAGTCCAGGGTTTCTTTCTCAGTACACGTTATTCTGGGGAAACGAGTATCAACATTGTGGAATATTTGAAAAATAGGGGGAAAAACCGATCAGAACACCTTTGGACACAGTAAGTGCCATTAATAATAATACCCATAGCACAGGCTCTCCCTAGCTTTCCATCCAGTGCATGTTCTCAAGCTGCAGAGCGTTCAGACAATTCTTGGCTCTTCCTTTGTTTTTGTACATAAGTTACATTGTGAGCATTTATTTTGAGGCCACAGACCCGGCATTAATCATCATTTAATGGTGATCTGACACTGCATGGTGAAAGTGCCATCGCAAAGTGAATCATCTTCTCGGGACCATTTGGGTCCCTGACACATTTTGCTGTCACAAATAATCCCACAACAGACTCCCATGGCGCAACTTTTTCATAATTTTCTTAGGACGGCTGCCCAGTGGGATTATTGGGTCAAATAATGGGATTATTGTGGCTCCTATACACACGTCTGAATTACCTTCTGGTGCCAGCTAACCAGTGTGTGAAGGGGATCGGGGCCTATCTCAGCGTGAGCTCGGTAGTTCCCAGCCGGCTAGCCCCCAGGTGCTCAGACTCGGCTCCACAGCTGGAGGAATGGACTGCTGCACCTCGTTGTCCTCCTGACATGAGCAGCAGAGTTCACTACTAAGCCTCCATCCCCATGTCTTCTCTCAGCCCCCCAGGACCTTGTGGAGGAGACGCCCAGCCCCACAGAACCCAGCACAGAGGCCCCGGAGCCCCCCGAGGAGCCCGTCCTGGGGGAGCTGGCGGTCACAGGATCCTCCCCAGACTCGCTGAGCCTCTCCTGGACCGTCCCCCAGGGCCACTTCGACTCCTTCACTGTCCAGTACAAGGACGGGGACGGGCGGCCCCAGGTGGTGCGTGTCAGAGGTGACGAGAGTGAGGTCACCATCGGGGGCCTGGAGCCGGGGCGCAAGTACAAGATGCACCTGTACGGCCTGCACAGGGGACAGCGCGACGGCCCCGTGTCCACCGTGGGCGTGACCGGTGAGTGGGGGTGAGACGGGGCCCCCTGGGGAAGCCGGCCCTACAGGACTCTCCCTTTATTCCCACGTGCATGAAAACACATATTCTAGGCAGCTCGTCTCTTTTGCACATCACATGGCCTGAGGATCTTGGTAAAGGGCAGAATCAGATGCCACAGGCGTGGGCTGGGGCCAGAGGCTCTACATCCCTGATGCGATGCTGAAGCTGCTGGTCCGAGGACCACACTTTAGCAAAGCTCCTCACAACAAAGGATTTGGACGCTTTCTTAGAATTTGTTGGAGAGAGTTGTACTGGCATCTCTGATTCCTCCCAGAGGCTTTGCCTCCCCGTAGTTCACTAGAGGCTGGGGGAGAAGACAGAGGGGGCTCAGGATGTAGCGTCCTGACCGAAACACCTCCAGGCCTCGTGGTTTGGGTGCTGTCAGGCTTCTGATTCCCATGGGCCCACAAGATTGGGTGCCCTGAGCCAAGCACTGTGGGAGTTCACTGGGGTGAGCCTGATCGTGGCAGAGAGAGAAGTTGTTATTGTAATGGGGCTCCCGGGTGTGGGGAGATAGGCCGTGAACCAGCAATCAGGCAAAGGGGCATATGCGTGTGACAGGAAGCCCTGGGGCCAGGCCAGGACTGGGCAGCATGCCTAAGCCAGCCTGCCCAGGGGTGTCCACGGGACAGCTGACACCTGAGGTTGGGCAGGCGTTCGCTTGGTGACAGAGTCAGATCCACGTCACAGCTGGTGCCAGGGCCTGGAAACTAGGCATGTCGCGGCCCATGAGAGGGACCGAGAGGATTCTGTGTGAGAGCCTCTGAGTGGGGGAGGGAGTCGTGAGATGGGGGTAGAGCAGCAGAGGCAGCTCAGAAGCCAGGGGCTCGTCCCGGGGGTAGAGAGGGCTGTTGCCCGGTGAAGCTAAGGCCAACGCTGTCAGATGTGCAGTGGAAGGCTCGGCCTGGCCCCTGTGAGGAACGGACGGGGCAGGGAGGCAGGGAGCCCAGGAGGGACACGGTGACCCAGCTGAGAGGCGACGGGGCTGGGGTGGGACCCAAGCCAGCCTGGTGGGGCTGCAGGTGTGGGGAACCCAGGAGGAACTTAGTTGGACACTCTGAGTCTGATGGCCGCTGGGGATAGGAGGAGATCCAGGAAGACTCCAGGTTTCTGGTTGGGGAAGGGAGTTCTGAGCTGTTTGGGAGCAACGGCATGAGCCAAGGGGAGTGAGATGCCAAGGAGACCCCAGTGGAGTGAGGCCCAGGGCACAATGTGCAGGGGAAGTGGGTGCTGGAGAGAGCGGGAGAGGGGGCGGGCTGTGGGTAGGGGCAAGATGAGGGTAAGGGGCCGAGCAGGCTGGCATTAATGGACTGGGAAGGTGACACTCTGCTCCTTATTATCTTATTCTTGTAAGACACCCACTTCTATGCTGACCTGCATGTCCTCATCTGTCCCTGTATGTCTCTGTCCACTTCCAGAATATGAAGCTATGACCACCGAAGCCCCATCCACCATGGCCCCTGAGCCTCCCACCAAACCCCGCCTGGGGGAGCTGACCGTGACCGACACCACTCCCGACTCCCTGCACCTCTCCTGGACTGTCCCCGAGGGTCAGTTTGACCACTTCCTGGTCCAGTACAAGAACGGGGACGGGCAGCCCAAGGCAGTGCGCGTACCGGGCTATGAGGATGCGGTCACCGTCTCAGGCCTGCAGCCAGACCACAAGTACAAGATGAACCTGTACGGCTTCCACGGTGGCCAGCGCGTGGGCCCTGTCTCTGCCATTGGGGTGACAGGTGAGTGGATGCTGGAAGCCCCAGGGTGGGGCCGGTGGGAGGGTCTCCCTCTCCCAGGTGATGGGTGAGAGGGGTGCAGGAGGCCCCTCTGCTCGAGGCTGAGCCATGGTGCCCTCCCGGGGCTCCCTGAGGCCTGAGGGGTCCTCCCCTGCAGAGTAGGGCCTCCATGAGCTGTGCTGGGGACTGTCCAGGGTTCCCCACAGCTGACCCTCAAGGCTCCCAGGCATGTTTGTGAGATGCAGCTGAGCAAGCCCACCCAGCCCCAAGGATGGGCTTCCCTGAGCTGAATTTGGGGGCCCCCAGACATGATCACAGCTTCTCCATCCTTCTCCCAAGACCTGAGGACATCTCCTGGGGATCCTGCCTCACCTCCTCTGTGTCTGTCCTTCTCAGCTGCAGAGGAAGAGACCCCAACCCCCACCGAGGTGGAGGAGACGCCCAGCCCCACAGAACCCAGCACGGAGGCCCCGGAGCCCCCCGAGGAGCCCCTCCTGGGGGAGCTGATGGTCACAGGATCCTCCCCAGACTCGCTGAGCCTCTCCTGGACCGTCCCCCAGGGCCACTTCGACTCCTTCACTGTCCAGTACAAGGACGGGGACGGGCGGCCCCAGGTGGTGCGTGTCAGAGGTGACAAGAGTGAGGTCACCATCGGGGGCCTGGAGCCGGGGCGCAAGTACAAGATGCACCTGTACGGCCTGCACAGGGGACAGCGCGACGGCCCCGTGTCCACCGTGGGCGTGACCGGTGAGTGGGGGCGGGGGCCCTGTCCCCAAGGTCTCCTTCCATTTTCTCTTGCTTTCCCCTTTGGATCTCAGCCCTCCTCACAGATGGTCCTTTAGATCCGTCTCCTTTCCCATACGGCACTAATGATCCTGCCTCATCCTTTAGTTGAGTGAGCCTGATGGAAACTGTGTTCTCGGTCAGTTGGCATGTACCCTGGGCTTCATAAATTTTACCTGTGTTCTTAAACTTGCTTATTCATATATGGGCTCCTCAGGCTCCCCAACAGGGTATTTTAGTGACTCAGAACGTGGCTGCAGAACCAGATTCTCTGGGTTTGATTCCTGCTCTGAATGTACTGACTGTGTAAATTCATGAACATTTCTTAACTTCTCTGCGCTGCAGCCCCACGCAAAATGGGGAGGGTGATACTAACGGCACGTGGCTCGTGTGTCGTGTGAGGGGTACGTGCGCTGCTGTGGGAGCTGCCTACCGCCGTGCCGGCGACGCATCAAGCACTTTAGAAGAGCTTGTTGGAAACCATTTTCTTCATAGTCTGGGGAAAGCACTCCCTCTCTTGCGAACGGTCCTGCCTTTGACCGCTCAGCCTCCTGTGCTCCGTTCCAGCCTCCCTGCCCGCAGAGCGCCCTGTGGCACCCCGCCTGGGGGAGCTGGCTGTGGCAGCCGTGGCCTCCGACACAGTGAGCCTGTCGTGGACGGTGGCCCAGGGCTCCTTCGACTCCTTCCTGGTCCAGTACAAGGATGTGCAGGGCCAGCCCCAGGCGGTGCCTGTGGGTGGGCTCCTCCGTGAGATCAGCATTTCGGGCCTGGACCCGGCCCGCAAGTACAAGTTCCTACTCTTCGGCCTCCAGGATGAGAAACGCCACGGCCCAGTGTCTGCAGAGGCCGAGACGCGTGAGTGGAGGCGGGAGGCCACCTTTGGCGCTAGGGCCTCCTGGGTGTGCCTCGCCCCCTTGTGGCGACAGTCAGACTTGCCTGTTTCTATGCTCCACACTCCCGCCGCAGGGCCTCCGCACCTGCTTATGTACTAGGCCCGGTGAAATCCAGGTCCAGAGCTCCCCGCTTAGCCCTCGTTCTCGTCCTTCTCCCTGCTCTTTCTCCATCCTGACAGACGCTGCCTTCTTCCCTGGCCCGTCTTTTGTCCCTACTCCTCTGCTGCCCCACCTCCTGCCCTGTGGCCCAGCCACCCCGTCCCAGCTCCCAGGACCAGCTCCCAGAGCCGCAACACCCTGAGGAAGCTCTGTCAGTCTCTGTCACTCTCCACACACCTCTCTCTCTTCTGCAGTCTCAGACACGAAACCTCCCCGCCTCGGGGAGCTGACAGTGACGGACCTGAGCCCGGACTCCGTGACCCTCTCGTGGGCAGTCCCCGAGGGTGAATTCGACTCCTTCGTGGTCCAGTACAAGGACAGGGACGGGCAGCCCCGGGTGGTGCCTGTGGCCGCAGACCAGCGCGAGGTCACCGTGCCCGGCCTGGAGCCCAGCAGGAAGTACAGGTTCCTGCTCTACGGACTTCAGGATGGGAAGAGACACAGCCCAGTCTCTGTGGAGGCAAAGACGGGTGAGCCCCAGCCGAGCCCCAGCCCTCCACCACACCTTCTCTAGAGCTGCCGCCTATCGTGCCCCCAGAGCTGGCCGCCCCCCGGCCTATCCATGCCTCCAGCCTCAGCCTTTGCAGCAGCAAAAGCAAACATTTACTGAGTCTCGGTCACACGCCAAGCACTATTCTAAGTATGTTACATGCATTATTCCCTCATTCACTGACTGCTCGATGTCATAAAAAGAACCCAGTCTTTGGAGCCAAGCAGACCTGCGTTCAAATTCCGATTGCCCGTGGTGTGGCCACAGACAAGCCACTTCCTTCCCTCGAACCGCAGTTTCCGTACCTGCGTGGGCATAATAAATACGATCAGCATTCCGTAAATGTTCCCATCCTCTTCCCTCCATCCCAGCTGAGGCAGGAGGTGGAAAATATGGAAGGGTTTGGCTGCAGAAAGACTATGGAAAAATCTGGTGTCATTGTGCCCATTACTCAGCCCCTTGAGGAAAGGGTGGAGGTGGGTCACTGACCCTTACCCCACTCCCAGGACCGTGAGTCATCCTGGCCGGATGGGGATGGAGCACAGGGTCAGTTGGGCCTGGGACCCTGAGACTGCATAATTCTCTTCCCTAAGCCCCCATTATGGGGAGTGGATACAGGCTTCTCTGACCCCATCAGCCAGCGCCCATCCCCACCGAGGCAAGTCTCTTCTGCGTTCTGCCCTCCATTCTCCCAGTGCTGCCCCACCCTGCTGCCCTGGTCCAGGGGTGGTAGTGCAGGGCTGAGGAAGTGGGTAGACGGATGGCCCGGGCTGATAGCAAGGGAGGGGGAGGTCATGGCCAAGCTCTGGGAGCCCATCAGCTTGGCTGGCTGCCCAGCCCAGCTCTTAGTGTTTGGGGGTGTCTCCCTGACAACCCAGATACACTCCGGGAGCCTTTCTGGGCTCCAGCCGCATCCCTGCTCAGGGAGTCAGGGGCCAGGGAGAAACTGAGGCCCTTCTCTACACCCCCAGGGGCCCTATCTCACAAGGTGATCTTTTATGCATTTACTGCACCCTGATAACAGCAGGGAGGGAGTGGGGGCAGGAAGGATTTAGGGCAGTGGCCTCCAGAGGAGAGATCGAGCTGCTCGCTGCCCTTCCTTTGGGCAGATTGAAGCCACGCTGCAGGGACCCTTTCCTAGACCCTCATGCCTCCCAGAAGTTGCCAGGGCTGGGGTAGAGGTAGCTCTTGACTAAGAGTTTCTCCTCCTGCTCTCTCCACAGCCCCCCTGGAGCACCCACCCCTCCTTGGGGAGCTGACAGTGACAGATGAGACCCCAGACTCCCTGCGCCTCTCATGGACGGTGGCCCAGGGCCTCTTTGATGCCTTTGTGGTCCAGTACAGGGACCCAGCTGGGCAGCCCCGGGCAGTGCCTGTGGCCAAAGACCAGCGGGAAGTCACCATAGAGGGCCTGGAGCCTGGCAGGAAATACAAGTTTCTGCTATATGGGATCCACGGAGGACAGCGCCTGGGCCCCATCTCCGTCCTGGGAGTGACAGGTGAGCAGGAGCCTGAAGGGACGACAGGAGCGGGCCTGGGGCATAAGGAGGCCTGCCCAGGGCTCGGGAAGGAAGGGAAGTGCAGTTCGGCCGGCTTTGGTGGTAACCAAGGAGTCCGTGGAGGCAGGCGCAGGGCAAGGCCCTGACAGCGGCCCCGGCCTCCCAACCCCCACCCCGTCCCTCTCCTGAGGCGGCTCTTACCAGATGGGGGCAAACCCCCTCCTGTGGATGAGTCAGGAGCCTTTTCTCTCAAATGGAAAATAACTGGAGAAGGACATAGGTGAGGGGCGCTGAAGGAGTGGCCTCCTCCGCGGAAGGTGTTGACACCCTCCCCAAGGGAGTGGCCAGCACCCCGAGGTGAGGCGCGAGAGGCCGTGGAGGTGGAGAAAGGGAAGCGAGTGTGGGACGGACCCAGCAAGCCACCCCACAGAGGGGTGATGGGGCCACAGTGCTGGTGCTCCAAGGGGCCCAGAGGTGGCAGGACTCAGTGCCAGGGCAGGGAAATGGCAGATTCACAGGAAGGAAGGTGCCAGAAGAGCCTCGCTCCCCTCCTGCTCAGCTTCTCCCCTGGGCTTCTCCCACACAGCCCCCTGGCGCCCAGCCACAGAGGCCCCCGAGCCCCCCGCAGGGCCCCAGCTAAGGACACTGGCAGTGAGCGACATAACCCCAGACTCCCTGCGCCTCTCATGGAGTGTGGCCCAGGGCCCCTTTGAGTCCTTCGTGGTCCAGTATCAGGACACAGAAGGGCAGCCCCAGGCCTTGCTCGTGGGCAGCAAGCAGAACACGGTGCAAGTGTCGGGCCTGGAGCCCCGCACCGCCTACGAGTTCTTCCTCTACGGCCTCCACGAAGGGAAGCGCCTGGGGCCTGTCTCGGCCGAGGGCACCACAGCTACTGGCAGGCCAGGGCCCTCTCTCTAGGCCTCACCCACCTCTGGACTGGGACCGACAGGGCTAACGGGTGACTGTAGAGAAAGAACATGAGGAGGGCCCCAGAAGGAGGAAGGGTGGCCCAGCAGCCTTCGGCTCTACGCACACCTTCTCACTATGGGTCCTACCTAGGAGCGCCCGCCCCTCATTGGTTCCATTTCACAGATGAGAAACTCGGGGCCGGGGTGGGGCGGTGCCAGAGCCCTGCCCCAGGCCACCGAGGTGGTGCGCTTCTGTGTCCCACCTGCTCTGTGCAGGGCCTGCTCCTGCCGGCCTCACCCCAGGGGAGCCAGGGCCCCGCCTGTCCCAGCTGTTGGTGACCGACGTGACCACCAGTTCGCTGCGGCTCAACTGGGAGGCCCCGTCGGAGGCCTTTGACTCCTTCCTGCTCCGCTTCGGGGTCCCATCCCCAAGCACCCTGGAGCCGCACCTGCATCCCCTGCAGCAGCGGGAGCTGACAGTGCCGGGGTCGCAGCGCTCCGCTGTGCTCCGCGACCTGCACCCGGGGACCCTGTACAGCCTGACGTTGTATGGGCTGCGTGGGCCCCATAAGGCCGACAGCATCCAGGGCACGGCCCGCACCCTCAGCCCAGGTAAGGCCCCTCAGTGGGCACCTTCGTGTGCTGCCCCGAAGTGAGGGGTCTCTGTACTTTGTAGGGCGGGACCTAGTGCCTCAGCCAGAGGGGAGCTTGGTGAGTGGTGCAGGGCTGGGAGGCGTCTACAGAGACTTCCTCTCCTGGGTCTAGAGGAAAGGGGTGGTGAGCAGGGGCCCAGGAAGAGGCAGGGGTGGGGATCTTGGGGTGGGAGCCTCCCTGCCCCGTGCCCTCACCCACGTTCCTCGGCACACCCCTCCCCGCAGTTCTGGAAAGCCCCCGTGACCTTCAGTTCAGCGAAATCGGGGAAACCTCGGCTCAGGTCAGCTGGATGCCTCCAGCATCCAGAGTGGACAGTTTCAAAGTTTCCTACCAGCTGGCAGATGGAGGTGACACCCTTTTGCCCGTGTCCTCGTTTGCCCTCATCTCTCCTGCTCCCTGCACCCTGCTCACCCTGCTTGCTTCCCGGGGCAAACTCCCGAGCCCACTGTGTTTTCAGGCGAGCCACAGAGTGTGCAGGTGGATGGCCGCGCACAGGCCCAGAAACTCAAGGGGCTGAGCCCGGGCTCCCACTATGAGGTGACCGTGGTCTCTGTCCGTGGCTTTGAGGAGAGCGAGCCTCTCACCGGCTTCCTCACCACAGGTAAGATGGACTAGGCCCCGGGCAGGAGGTGGGGGGAGAATGAATGGGGAAGGGGGAAGGTGTGAGAGGCTTGGACTGTGGACCAGAGGCCAACGGAGCCTGGGAAGGTGAGGGCTGAAGAGGCGGGCAGGGGACAGCTCTGAGGCCCCTCCCTTCTCCCAGTTCCTGACGGCCCCACTCAGCTTCGAGCGCTGAACTTGACGGAGGGATCGGCTCTGCTGCACTGGAAACCCCCCCCGGCCCCTGTGGACAAGTATAACGTCCGTGTCACAGCCTCAGGGGGTGAGCGGGGCTGAGGCCTCTGGCGGGGACTTGTTGGGGGGCAGGGGCTCCGGCAGGGTGAAGGGGGGCGGATGCTGATGCTCATCCCACTCCCAGCCCCCTCACTGCAGGCCTCAGCCCCGGGCAGTGCGGTGGAGTACCCTCTGAGTGGCCTGGAGCTGCACACCAACTACACAGCGACCGTGCGTGGTCTTCGGGGCCCTAACGTCACCTCCCCAGCCAGCATCACCTTCACCACAGGTGCAGCCTGGGAGGTGTGCGCGACGGGGGGAGGGGAGGTTCCAGGGAGCTAGGATGGGCCTTGTCTCCATCTTCTCTTCCCATCTTCCCCTCCCAGGGTTGGAGGCCCCCCAGGACCTGGAGGCCAAGGAAGTGACCCCCCGCACAGCCCTGCTCATTTGGACTGAGCCCCAAGTCCCTCCAACCAGCTACCTGCTCAGTTTCAACACCCCTGATGAACAGACCCAGGTGCCCCCATCCCTCCCCCACTCCCAGGTTCCAATCCAGGAAGTGCTGCCCCCTCCTCTGCCTCTCGAGCAGGGCTCCCCATCCCCTGACCTGCTCCTCTTCTGTCCACAGGAGATCCTGCTCCCAGGAGGGGTCACCTCTCACCAGCTCCTGGGCCTCTTCCCCTCCACCCCCTACAGCGTGTGGCTCCGGGCTATGTGGGGCGAGAGCCTCACACCGCCTGTGTCCACCTCCTTCACCACTGGTATTTGGGCACTGGGACAAATTTGGTCAGGGGCTGAGCGGGCCTAGGGTTTGGGAAAAGGACCGGCCCCTCATTGTCCTCTCCCCAGGTGGACTTCCGATCCCCTTCCCTCGGGACTGTGGGGAGGAGATGCAGAACGGAGCCCGCACCTCAAGGGCCACCACCATCTTCCTCAATGGCAACCGCGAGCGGCCCCTGGACGTGTTTTGTGACATGGAGACCGATGGGGGCGGCTGGCTGGTGGGTGGCACACGGAAGCCCAGGGGTCTGCCCGGGGCAGGGGCTGCCGTGCCAGCAGCCATAGGCCGATGGTGCCTCTGCCCGCTTCCCAGGTGTTCCAGCGCCGCATGGACGGACAAACGGACTTCTGGAGGGACTGGGAGGACTACGCCCACGGCTTTGGCAACATCTCCGGGGAGTTCTGGCTGGGTCAGTGCCTCACAGGGCTGGGGGCCAGGGAAGGGACGGAGGCCCTGTGGACACCAGGACCCTGAGGAGAGCACTGTCCCTCCCCCCAGGCAACGAGGCCCTGCACAGCCTGACAGACACGGGCGACTACTCCATGCGCGTGGACCTGCGGGCCGGGGACGAGGCCGTGTTCGCGCAGTACGACTCCTTCCGGGTCGACTCGGCGGCCCAGTACTACCGCCTTCATTTGGACGGCTACCACGGCACGGCAGGTTAGGGGCGGGCCGGGGGGCGGGTGGGGAGGTGGGGCAGGGGGCGGGGAGGCCCTCACTGCTCCTCTCACACCTGTCCAGGCGACTCCATGAGCTACCACAGTGGCAGTGTCTTTTCTGCCCGGGATCGAGACCCCAACAACCTGCTCATCTCCTGCGCTGTGTCGTACCACGGGGCCTGGTGGTACAAGAACTGCCACTACGCCAACCTCAACGGGCTCTACGGGAGCACAGTGGACCACCAGGTGAGGGGCCTGGGGGGCAGCACCGAGCTGGGCGGGGGCGGGGGCGTTCACCCCGCTGGGGTGCGACAGGACAAGCTCCCCAGCCGCTTGGTGCCTCAGGACCCTCATCTGTGAAATGGGACAATAATGCCAATCTCACCAAGCTATCTGGAGGGAGACATGAGCACGATTTATTGGACGTAGAGGGCCAGCTCAGATGAAGCCTCAGGCCTTGGCAGTTGAGGATCATGAAGTCGGTGGGGGTGGGAGAGGGGTTGATTTCTGGGAACCATCTCCCCAGAGGGGCAGGGGTGGGAGCAGATGGGATGTGTGGCTTTGACTCTGTCTCAACATCTCCTCTCCCAGGGGGTGAGCTGGTACTACTGGAAGGGCTTCGAGTTCTCTGTGCCCTTCACGGAAATGAAGCTGAGGCCAAGAAGCTACCGGCCCCCAGCGGCCCAGGGAGGCTGACCACCGCTCGCCTCTCGGGCGCCCCAGAATGACTGCCGAGCACTGAGGGGTCGCGCTCAGAGAAGAGCCCGGGGCCACCGTGACCGTCCAGCCACCGGAGGGAGCCTTCTCCATCTGCGATCTCACAGCACCATGTTTACAGGGGGGGAGGGCAGGGGTTTGTACGGGGAGTAATAAAAGGGGAAACTGAGGCATGCGTGCGGCCGGCGTGCGTCCTGCCCCGTCACGGGTGCTGGCCCGGCGCCCGGGCCCCTGCGCCCCGGGGCTGCAGCCGCACCTGGAAAGGCCGCACGGTGAGGTTGACGCCGCCGCGGGCCCGGGGCTGCAGGGAGGGCAGGGCGCCGGTGGGCGGCAGCAGCGTGAAGGCCCGCAGCAGCTGCGCCAGCACCACGCGCAGCTCCAGGCGCGCCAGCGGCTCCCCCAGGCACACGCGGGCCCCGCAGCCGAAGGCCAGCACTCTGGGGCGGGCGCCGGGGGCCAGGAAGCGATCTGTGGGCACAAGGACAGAACCCGGGGTTCTGTAGCCGCGGGGACCGGCCTCTGGCGCCCCCACGCCGCGGGCGCCCTCCCCGCCACGCACCCGGCCGGAACTCGTGTGGCCGCTCCCAGACCGTCTCGTCTAAGTGGGCGCCTTGCAGGTTGGGGATGACAACCGTGCCCTCGGGGATGTCGTAGCCCAAGATGCTGAGGGGAGGGTGGAGTCAGAGGCCTGCCAGGACCCCTCCCCTCCCCCCCCACCCCCCCAGCCCCGGCTTGGCCCCACTCATCCCCAGCCCTCGGGAGCCACCTGCTAGGCCGCGTGGCACGGTGCGGCAAGGCCAGGGGCACGACGGGCCGCAGGCGCAGCACCTCGGCGATGGTGGCCGTGAGCAAGGGCAGCCGTGCGGGGTCTCTGTATGGGACTCGGGAGCCTGACGCTCCAGGGCCCAGCTCACGATCCAGCTCTTCCTGCAGTCTCTGCTGAATCTGGGAAATGGGAGCAAGCCTGGTGTCTGGGGCCGGGACCCTGAACCGCCCCCTGGAGCAAACCCCCCCCCCGCCACAAGTGTCCGAGCCGATCAGGAGAAGCCAGCCCCCAGGTGAACACAGCCCTCACACGCTGCGGGGGGGGGGGGGGGGGGCGGGCAGTGAGCTGAGGTCCCGGGGCCCCAGCCAGGCCACACCCAGGGTGCACCTCAGGGTGGTGAAGCAAGAAGGCCACGGCCCAGGAGAGGGTGGTCGCCGTGGTCTCAGTGCCACCAATGAACAGGTCCACCACAGACATATGCACGTGTCCTTCAAGGAGCTGTCCGCAGCCCTCCCCTGCTCTTGGCTTGCCCACTCGTTGGAGCATATAGTCAGTCATGTCCTTCCACTGGCCTGCCACCATGCTCTCCTGTAGAGGGGAGGAGCGGCCGGCCTCAGTGCCTGGCTTGGCGAGAAGGCTCTCAGGGGAGCCACGGGTCCCGGGCCAGTGGGATGCTGAAGAACCTGCCCAGCTCTGGGGCAGTAGGATCCCAGGCTGTGGGCTGCGGGGGCACCAGGGACGCACAGCCTTCCCACCTTGTGCTGCCTCAGCTGCTTCTCTACCATGTGGTCCCTGTTCTCCAAGGCCTGCTTCAGCCTGCGGAGGCCTGGATTGGGGAAGAACTGGGGCAGGGAGCAAGATGGTGTAGCCCCAGACAAGGAAGCCTGTCCTCCCCAGCCCCTCTCTCTCCCGGGACCCAGCGAGTCTGGGCTCCACCTCCTCACCCTGAGAAAGGGAACAATGTCCAAGATTTGGACAGACCAGTGCTCCCAGGTTTTCATCAAGTCCTGGACACAGTCATGAAAGGCATGTACTAAGGTGTCCTCCTGCCCCCCGCCAAAAAAAGAGGGAATCGTTTCAGTTCAGGACCAGAGAGAGAGTTAGGGAGGGGCCAAGGAAGAGCCCCAGCATATGGAGGGCAGGGAACCTTGACCTGGTCTCCAAAGGTGAGGTGACAGATGATGGTGCAGGTGAGGAGAGAGAACTCCTTCTGGATGGCCACAGGGGTGCCGGCCTGGGCTCTCATGCGCTGCAGAGAAGGGGCTGGGACTAAACGAGCCGGGCCGGGCCAGGGAGCTGCCGGGACAGGGGAGGCGGGCGGGGGCGACTGTGGGAGTGCACCCTCACCTCACAGAACTCCTGGGTCAGCTGCTCCACCATCCCCTCCGTGGAGTCGAAGAGGCCCAGCAGCAGGGCTGAGCGGGTGAGTTTCTTGTGAGCCTTCCAGAGCAGGGAGTAGTCCCCGAGGGAGAGGTCCTGGTAGTGCTGAGACACCAGCTTATCTGTGAGTAGGAGAGGGGTCGAGCTGACCACGGAAGCCACGGGTCTGACCTCCCCTGCCTCCGCCAGCCCGTTTCTTCCCTCGAGAACCGCCCCGACCCTTACAGGACGCTGTCTGGGGTCTGCCGGCAAAGTCCACCCATTTCCTGATCATGGCTTCCTCAATGGTCCTCTTGGAGTTCAGCACCACCACATCTGGGGGAGGGCCAAAGTGGGGCATCAGCAGGGAGGGGACCCCTCCTCCCCTCTGTGGCGGGGCCGGGGGAGGGCAGCCGGGGCAGACGCACCTCTCAGCCCCAGGCGGAGCCTGTAGACAGGCCCCAGTTTCTGGGTCAGACCCAGCAGGTAGAGGGGAAGGTTGGGCCGCAGCAGGTGCAGGAAGCCGGGCACAAGAGGCGGGAGGTGGAGGCTGCGGAGCTTCCACTTGTGCCACAGCAGGCGGGCGCCAGCCAGCACGGTCAGCAGCAGAAGCCCGAGGAGGAACATGGCCAGAGCCCCGGGCAAGGCCCTGGCTGGGCCACTTATAGTGTCGGCGGCCCCTGCACCCATCTTGCTGCTCTGACTCCTTCCCTCGGCTCCCTGCCCACTGCACCGCCCACGTATCCTGGAGGGGCACCAGTCCCCCCTGGCCTTGGGCAGTCCACATGTCAAAGAACCGGCCTTTCATCCATCAAGAAGAAAGGAAGGGGGATGCGGCCGTGACCTCTCTCCCGCAGCCAGGGCAGCCAGGATCGGTTTCCTGGCCTCGCGTCAGCCAGGCGGGAGAACGCTGCCCGCCACCCCACCTTGGACGAGCTTCCTGCTTTATCTGGGAGAGACAACAGCCTGCCCTGCCTCACCAGCCCTCCAGGACTGCCTGAGGGCGAAGGGGGATGAAAGTGGCCTGCATGTTTTTAACTTACACACAGGGTGACCGGATGGCCTGGTCTGCCTGGAGCACCCCAGTTTATACCTGTAGGCCCAGTGTAACTATTAACCGTGCCCCATTCCCATCTCAAAAGTTGAAGAAGATGAAGAGCGATATGGCCCCCCGGTTTAGAGCTCTTACTAGTACTCAATATACTCTTTGGTTGCAAAGGAAAGCGACCAACTCGAGCTGGCTTGAGCCAAAAAGAGGAATTACTGTACAAATACGGGGGGCATCTCAGAGAACTGAAGAGAGCAGGAGAGGGGGCCTCGATGGCCTTGGAAGCCAGGGACGGGGGAGGCCAAAGCTGCAGAGAGGCGCCAACTCTTCACTCTTGGCTCCTCCCTCCTCCGCGTCTGCCACCCGCCCTCTCCCTTCTCCCTCTGCCCCTGCTGCTTGTGTTCCCAGCTGCAGGCAGGATGGGACTGCCTCCAGCGTCAGAGTCCACAGGCCCAGCCCCAGGTCGAGAGGGTTCCCGGCAGGACTGAACATGCCCCCTACCGATGCCAAAGTCCCCAGGAAGGAGCCCGAGAGCCACAGTGGGATCAGGAGGTCCAGCCCTATCCTGCGAGCTGTTGCCATAAGGGCTGGGGTCCCACTGGACCAGGTAGGGCAATCAGAAACCACTTTCACGGGTGAGGAGGCAGCTGAGAGGCTCAAAGGAGGTTTCGGAGAGATCGTGCCAAAGGGGTAACAGTGCTTAGTGAGAGATCTGGGCTGCCTGGGGGTGGGAGAGAGGGATCGGAGGTGACCTAAAGCACACATCACCCCCCAACTCCCCATGCCTGGCTCTGTAAACTGATCCCGGCACCCAGGAGTGGGTAGACCTCCCCCCGCCACCCGCCCCGAGCTTTACCCAGAGTGCACAGGCTATGTGGCTGGAGGCCAAGTCGAGGTGCTGGCTGTGCCACCCACCAGCTTGAGGAGTAACTGCTGGGGGTCCTGGTGGGAGAGGTCGGGCTCGGCCTGGACCCATGCCCAGGGCTGGGAGGGAGAGAGCAGGGGCGGCACTTCGAGGGTTAGGCAGCCACCGCTAACCCCCTGCCTCACAGTTGACCTCCCAGACCCAGGCCGTGTCCTGCCACGACTGCAGCGGGTGCCTGGCTCTCACAGATGGCTCTCGGCCACCCCATGCTGGCCAGCTTCGGGGACAGAGATGTGACGGGTCGCCGCAGGGCCATGGAACAATAGTCCCGGGGAGCCTCGGGAACACAGAACCTCTCTGAGTTGCACAGCATGGGAGGGGGCTCCACTGGAAAGAACAGTGACCCGGAAAGCTGGCCTGATTGTGAACCAGCCTTCCTCGACTGACCTGATTACGCCGCCAGCCCCAGCTCTCCCACCCCACCTCCAAATCCGAATCTCGGACACGGTGGAATCACATGCAGTGCCCCCAGATGGGCTCGGTCCTGCCCCCTGACCTCTGGGCCTTTCATATTCTCCGCCCGTCTACCTCACAGGCGCTCAGCTACCCCCACTCTCTATGCGTGACGAATCAGCTTTCAGAACCCAAGTCAGAGGTCACCTCCTCTGGGAAGCCCTCCCCTTCTCCCTGCCCCCAAATTCGGCCGGGTGCCCCACAGGACCAGGCAGCTCCCGAACAGCACACGTTTCGGGGATGGGGACCTGGCACAGGGCATGGCATGGAGGGAGAGCCCCACAGACTGAAGCCGTTCGATCGGCTGGCAGGCTGGTGCACGGACTCCGCTCCCGTCAACACCAATCTCGGCCAACTTCTCTAGCTGGATTTCTAGTCAGCCCTGGAGACCCAGCAGGGGCCACCGAACAGGGGAGAGCGTGGCAGGCAGGTGGGGAGGGTGGACCCGGTAAAACAGCGGCCTCCTCGGTGTATCAAACCCCACCCTGAAGTCATGGCGCAACTCGGGGAAAGTTCCCTAACCACTGGTAAGGAGATCAAGAGGCAACTGCTTCCAAGAAACCAGACATCAGCTACAGGCCGGAGACCCCAGAACACCCAGCCGCACAGGGGCAGAGCGGGAAACGCGTGGCCCAAAGGGTGGCGGCGTTAGGCTCAGCTCAAGCCACGCCCGAGGCCGCAGGGACCGGCAACAGCGGGGCCGTGGAGGGAGGCCTCATTGTGGCGCCGGAGCCTTAGGGTGCAGGCTGCAGGGTCACAGGTCCGCTCAGGGCGCTTCTAGGATGGACTGAGCTCCCAGGGAATCGTCTGGGAGTGACACCCCCAAGGGTCACCCAGGCTCTGGGAGCCCAAAATGACGCAAACCCTGGCCTCAGAAGCTGGCGGGGGGCGGGGGGCATTGCTCTCAGTCCTGGAGACACACACTGATGCTCTGCTGCCGAAGGCCTTTATTGAGTTCCTGGGCCTGCCTGGGCCGTGTCCGGGGGGACAGGCACTGCGACCATCCGGGCATCCCCGGGCGGTGGGGGGGGAGGCGGCCCTTACACCTGGCACCCCTGAGTGCCGTACTCCTGGAGGAAGTCGCTGAGCTGCGCGCAGGCTGCCCGATGGCGGGTGCTCTGGCAAAGGCGTTCAGAGGGCATCTCCTCGACCCAGGTATTCGAGTCCAGCAGGTACTGGGGGCTGCGGAGGCAAAAGGGCAGTCAGCAGGGCTGGGGGGAATGGGCGCCTGGTTTCTGGCGGGCCAGGGTCTGCATGCTGGGGATCCGTTCCCTCGCGAGGTGGGAGGACAGCAAGCAACACAGGGGCCCGGAGAACTCACTCTCCCTTGAGGTCAAAGGTAGCTCCATCCAGACCCATGATCAAGTACTCTTTCCCAGGTTCCAAGCGAAGGCGGCAAGAGGCTCGAACCAGGAAGTTGCGGGTCTGACGGACGGTGGCCTTGGTGTCCTTGGCTGAGAGGATAAGGGGCACAGGAGTTGTCAGAGGCGAATGGAAGGTACAGGGCCAGTGGGGGCTGGGGGCTGGGCCCGGAGCCTCTCATCGAGCCCTCACTGCTCCTCACGGAGACGTATGACTGCTTTTCGATTGATGGCCAAGCCCAGAGCCTCCAAGAGGCTGAGGGGCTTTGAGCTCAGCCTCCGAACATCCGCTATCCTGGGCACCTGGGCTGCCAACCCTGACCTCGGCCCCCTCTGTCCCCTAGCCCCACCGGCCCATCCGTTCCCTTCATACTGAAGTGCAGAACTTGGGTGATTCTGGTCTCGAAGAGACGGAAGGCAGCTCTGCCATCTTCTCGAAGGACCTTCACCTGGAAGCCTACGAGGGCGTTTAAGAGAAGGGAGCACGGGTTTGTTCCACCTGCGGTCACGGGGCGCAGCCCAAGTGCAGAGCCCGGGGGGGGGAGGCGGGGCGGGCACACTGACCGTAGTGCACACGGGGGTAGTAGCAGGCAAACTTCATCCTGTAGCCCACCTCATCCTGCAGCCCCCGCTCCAGGGCACGGCGCTGCCGAGGGCACTTCCCTGCCGGGGGGGCGGGGCGGGCAACAGAGATGAGCCCACGTAGGCCCCAGCCTCCCGCCCCAGCCTCACCAGCTTCCCGCCCTGGCCCCGGCTCTCACCCTCAGCACACTGGCAGACGTCAGCAGAGCACAGTGTGGACAAGAGTTTGCTCTTAGTGGGGGCCCCGTAAAACACAGAACATTTGCGCTCTGGAGGAGAGAGGGCAGTTAGAGCACACGCCCTCCCCCCCAACAGTGCCTCCCCCGTCCCAAGGAGCCACAGGACATCCCTGCCACCCGGCACTGCCCCACTTCCTGATGTCCCATATGGGGACACCTACTCCAAACCTGCCAAGTGCCCCCCAAGGGCTCACCGGGGTTGTAGTAATCATACAGGGCCGCGCTGGCCGGCTGGACGAGCCCCACGGCCACCTCCTGCACGGCCCCAAAGCCCACGCACTCCCGGGAGGTGGGGACCTGGCGGGGGTGGGGAGGAGACGTCAGGGCGCACCCCCTGGGCCCTGCAGGCCACTGGGCTGCATCTCCTTGACCTGTCTCTGGTCTTATCTTCAGTGTCTTTCACATGCTAGTACCTTCCGGCCGCCGGAACTCTAAAAACTGCTCCCCGAGGTCTCTGCTGACGTCACTGCCAGACAGTGACCTCGTCCCAGGCTCCAGTGCCCCGGGCAGAGTCTCACATCATGGACACGTTCTGCACGAAACTCTCTAAGCTCAGTGTTAGCTTCCGGCCATCCCTGGTGCTGACCTCGTCATGCCTGACCACCCCTTTTCTTCCTTCCCAGAGGCGTAGTCCCTGGCCCTGGCTCTCCGGTCCTCTGCACTCCCCTGAGGAGGTCTCAACCGCTCCTTGGCTTTCACCAAACCCTTCCAGGCTGATGATTATTAAACTATTAAATTAGATGTTGAGATTATTAAACACTCAGCTTCATTCTTGCAGTAGGATTACTGCGGCCGTGTAAGTTCTCCAAATTCACTCTGCCTGCCCCCCGAAGCCCAACCCCCGCCAATGGCCTTGCTTCGTCACCAATGCACCCGGGCCCCCCTTTATGTGTCATAACATAATGGCAGGCACTGTCACTCGCCCGTCCTCCCTGACCCTGCAGCTCACGGCCTAGGCCCAGAACCCCTCCTCACGCCCACACTGGTCCGGTCCAGCCTGGTACCCTGCCAGTTTCCTTCCCGAGCCCCGCTGCTTAAGTCAACTCCTTGCCCAAAATCTTCCTGGCTTCTCATCTTCCATTGTGTTCAACGAAACTCCTCTGCCTGGCTTCTCAGGCTAACGGGGTCTGGCCCCTCTGCAAGCACTGGGCGGTGGGGGAGGGCCTTCCTCGACCCCCCCCACACCTGGCTAAAGGTGTTATAGTATTAACACATCTTTTTCACATTTTCTCCAAGAGATTACAGCTAATGCTTAAAAAATGTTTGAAGGTCATCTGAGGGTTGATGATTCTTTGTTTTAGCCAAATAATGGCAAGCCACTCATCTATGACCATCATCACTTTATAAGAGAAAATACACTTCAATATCAAAAACAAAAACCAAAAAAATGCAGGAAGGTCAACGACGAACAACAAAAGCAGCCCTCAAGTTCAGTAAATTCAGCTTTATGAATGGCTCACCCTCGAGTCCTTCCCTGCGGACCAGCGCCAGCCCCAAGCTGCATCTGGGGCTCAGCCCCCATCACCCCGCAGGCAGGGCAGCCTCCCGGGCCTGCCCCTCTCTGCTCTGGCACACTCTTGTCCTGCCTCCCTGGCTCACATCTCAAGTTCTCTCAGGTCAGCCGTGCTCAGTAAACCCAGGGTCATCCTTCCCCGTGTCGCCCCTCCCTGCTCACCGAGTCAAAATACAGCAGGACATGGGGCCCCTCGGTCTCAAAATGACTCACGTAGCGGTCAGAGAGGGAGGCCAGCTGTGGAGAAGGACAGATGGTGACAGGGAGGTGGCCCAGGGCCCCGCACAAGACCGGGCTCAGCGGCTGGGAGAGCTTCAGGGATGGAGCCGGGCTCCTGGGGGCACAAGGGACCCCCCCCCGGCCGATGGCCGCACCTTCTCCAGGTCAGCACGCAGGGCACTGAATCCGCTCAGGAGGGTGATATCAGCAATGGCCATGCCCGACAGCCCCGCCTTGCCGCTCCGCCTGCAGAGACACGTCCAGGGCCCACCCGCTCTGAGTCGCAGACGCCCAGCCCCGGCCTCTGCCCTGCCTCCGTCTCCGGGCCCGGCAGCACCCCGTGTCGGGCGCAGCCCCCCACACTCACCAGATGCACACGGTGTACTGCACTCTGGACTCCTGGTCGCCGGGCACCCCGGGGGCCTCCCGCCTGCGGCGGTTCCGCCGCCTCTCAAACAGCTCCAGGGGCGTCACAGTCTGGGAACCGGCACCTGGGTCGTCCTTGGCTGCAAGGTCCTCATACACATAGTCCTCATAGTCCTCGTTGGCCTCCCCTGCACAGGGATGGTGGTGTGGCTTGGCTGCTGGCACCGGCCCCCTTGGGGCCCCACGACCTCCGGCCCTGACACTCACTTGTGTATTCAACGTAGCCCGTGACTGTAACTTCAATCTGAAGATCCTCACAGGTCATGTTCTTCAGGTCCAGGACGTTATAGGTACGAAGGATCTAACTCAACAAGGGGTGAGAACAGGGGACGTGTGGGGCCCAGACCTTTCTCCAGGGCCACACCTGGGCCATCGCCTGGGCTGAGGGATTCCAGGCCTTCAGCCCCTCTCATCCCTCCTGACCAGTCCATAAATGTGGACGGCCCAGGGGGCTGCGTTAGCCGGCGAGATGGGGGCAGGGGCCTGCCCTCAGGGGCGAGCACTCTACACGGGGCCCAGAAGAGGCTGGAATGGAAAGCTCAGGAAAGGCTTCTGGCCAAAGCTTGCAGGAGAAGAATGAGTTTGTCACTTGGGAAGAAGGAGGGGAAGGACATTCTAGGCAAGGAGATCTGTGTAGATTCGTGGATTTGTCTGGCCAGGCAGGTGGGTGGAAGAGTCTGACTTTTCTCCAGGGTTAGTCTGACCGGTGTCCAGAGGCTGACCTCACGGCAGTGTGCACAATGGATCAAAGGGGTGAGACATGGGGGAGGGAGAAGTTCTAACTCTGTCTTAGCAGAGTCTAGGAAACAAGTGACAAGGGCCCCGGGCAGCAGGGGAGTGGAGGAGAAGCTGCCGGGGCCATAAGGAAGGGCTAGGATGGGCACATGAAGGTGGCCTCCAGAGCAGCGGCTGGGCTCCTGTGGGGAAGGGGCCCTGTCGGTCAGATGAGGGGACCCAGGAGGAAGAAGGGGTTTGAGGTGCCGTGTGACACGTGGGGCCTGTGGCTCAGGAGAGAGGCCTGGGTTGAGGTGCTGGGTGTGTATGCCATCACCACTGACGGGGGAAAAGGAGAGGACAGGTGCCCAGAGAGGGCAGAGATCAGAGTGAGGGGGAACCCCCAGAACAGCAGGGGGGCCACCCACCCCGGGGGCATCGCCCCCTCCCCCCTCCCCCACGATCTCCGCCCTCAGGCCTCCCACTCAAGACCACAGCCCCTCCATGCTGGGTCCCAGGTGTCCAGTGCCGCTGGCTCTCACCTTCAAGGTCCCTTTGCTGTTGCCTCCCACCTTCACGTTAATCTTGCTGCCCAAGGAAAACTTGCAGGAACGGAGAACGGAAAGGGTTGTCAGAGGGCACGCAAGGGCACGCAGTTGCTCCAATCCACCTCCTCCCTAAAAACAACCTCTCCTCCTCTCCCACCTCACACGCTCACAAAGCTGACACCTCCATGTGTGCTACCTCCCTTCAGCCTCCTAAAAACCCTGTTGGGTAGACTCTGCATGTATTAATTTTGAGATGAGAAAAATGAAGCTCAGAGGTTAGGTGACTTTCTCCAGGTCACGTGGCATACTTGGTCTTCCCACAAGGACATCAGGCCAAATTGCCATGGGGATTCCACAAGAGTGGGGGGAGCCTGGGGTCGGCTTCCGGCCTGGCCACCATAGGCCCGAGGGGTATGACAAGCCAGGTGAAGGCGTGGCTCACCTGCAGCTCCTCCTCCAGCCCCTGAATTTGGTGGTTGTTCAGATGCAGCTCATGGGACTTGAACCCACTGCGGCCCATGGAGCTGAGAGTCACGTTGAGCCCCCTCTCTTCGGGGGTGTGAGAAGCAATCCAGTATGCAGACAGAGCATCCAAGGCCATCACTGTGTCCTGGGGAGGTGAGCTGGCACTCAGGCCCTCAGTCTTGGGACCACCCACCCCCGGAGCCCCCGGGCAGCCCCTACCTGGGTGCTGCGGAACCCCCCTTGGAAACTGCCCTGGTGGGTAAGCCAGGCTGCAGCGTGGTCAGCCATCTCTGACTTGCCCTCCCGTAGCAGCAGGTGAAGCAGGCCGTAGGCTGTGGTTTCGATCCACACGGCCGGGGCCTGGGGCATGGGGTCTGTTGGGCCTCGAGGAGCCAGGGTTGGTGGGACGGCATTGTTCTGAGAACCAAGGACTGAGCCCCAGTACAGGTTATCTGGAAGTGAAGGGAAACCCACAGGTGAATGGGGTGGGGGTTGGGCCCTAGTTGCCTGGCCCTCTGACGCTCCCCGTGTTGGGCTCTCCCGATTCTACCCCAATTATCCCTGCTTATGCTTTCATTCCTTCTTGAGGTCTTCATTCGATTTCTCCCTTTGGGCACACTCAGGGGTCCCAGGTCCCCCAAGGCCCAGGCTCATTGCCAGGACCCCCTTGGCTCTCACCCCCCGTCTTCTGGGCCATGGCCATGAGGTTGCGGTGGGCAACGTTCCGCAGATCCTCAGAAGCCTTGGTGAGAGTCAGGGCATAGGCCGTGATGGCAGCTGCATGAGCACCCAGGGTCCCAGCACTTGCTTTCTCCCCCAAGAAGGAGTTTGCTCTGATGATGGAAATTTCCTAGGAGAAAGTGGGGAGGAAGGTCAGAGAGCTGGACACCTGGGTTCCTGGGGAGAAAGGGAGGAAGCTGGGGACCAGGAAAGGGCAGACACCCAGGTACCCTTACCACTTTCTGCTTCAACTGCTCTGCAACGTCATCCTGCAAGATGGCCAGACCATGCTGAAGGGCGATGACCACAAAGGCCGTGAGCGCCACATTCTCGTCATCTCCCACCAGACCTCCCTAGTTGAAGGGGGTAAAAAAGAAGAGGTCAGCCAGGAGCAGGGAGGGGCAGGGAGTGCCCTCCCACTTGGGCTCCTCTGTCCGGCCTCCCAGCCCCGAACCTGCATGGCCCTGTGTAAAACTGGGCAGAGGTCCTGGAACGACCCGTCAGCCTGCTGCTGCGTCAGCAGCCACCTGGCTGTCTCCTGCAGCTTTTCAGGTGAGCCGCCCACCTGCTCCTGGGCCAGACTCAGTACCTTCAGCACAAAGGCCGTGAGCCTGGTGGGGAGGGAGGGATGGCTGGGGACAGTGACCAGGCCCCATAGGGGACACATCCCCACTCGCCCAGGCACCTGGTTATTCGCCCTCCCACCGTACCTGGCTCTGCCCCCTCCCACAGCCCTGGCCCCCCTCAGAGACCCAGAATCACTCTCCCAACCTCACCAGGTGCTGCTGTCCCGATGTAACCAAGCCCCGTAGGAACCATTTGTTTTCCGAAACTGCTGGATCCGCATGTAGCCTTGGGGACAAGAGGCAGCTGCTGAGGCAACACTCACTCTCCCACCATGTGTACCCGAGGCCACACGCCCCATTCCCATCAGGCGCCCCCTTCCTTCTCCCTTCTAGCTAGTTGGGCTGCCCCTCTGCCTTGAACTGCCCTCTCCCAGCCCCGCGCCTGCTTGCCCCTGTGCCCAGAACCTTTCTGGATCAGATCCACAGCATGGTCCTTTGTCTCAGGAGGCAGTGTGCTCCACTGCTCGGTCTTGTCCAGGTAGCGGGAAGCAGCCAGTGTGGGGGCCAGTAAGATCATGGTC